CGCTGCGCTCGCTGTAGGTGCAGCGAGAGCTGCTTTGGGCCAGCACGAAACGCGTCGTGATTTTCATTTGAATTTTGTCACTGCGGGGGAGCGTTGCTAAAATTGTCACTTGGCTTCCCATGTTAGCAGCACCTGAGGGCACGCCGAGGCGGCCGGAGGTTCGTGTCTGAGCTGCACATCCCGGTTTATCTGCGAGCCCAGTGCTCGGGTGGGGATATGTTGATTTTCCAAGAGATACGTTCTTGACATCTTTATTTTTCTGACAGCGCAAGAATCTTATTATATCCCTACCTCTTACCCATATTTTCCTGCTCTATTTATATCCCATGCTCTCAGGATTCGACGTGGGGGCTTTTCAGGCTCGGGGGGGTTTGGTCTGGGGATCAGCAGGGCCTCGTTATCCTGCCCGGGATTGGAAGGCACCGTTCACAAATGGTTTCCCAATTGACATTGACGTTGTGGCTTTTTCCAACCCCTTCCCTGCCGCTGCCACGTGAGCCCTGCCAGCTGACAGAGGATTTGTTTGAAAGAGCACTGTGTGCTCTTTTCCAAAAAGTCCCAGCTTTTTTTCCTCCCCGAGTGCTCTGTAAGATTAAAAATAAAATTCAGTACAGTTTTCTCATTCTTTTTTTTCATCTGTGTTGCTGAAAATAGGAGGGAAGTTGGGAGTGACTGAGCCCGCTTCCTTCACAAAGGATGGAAGGGTGATGGCTGTGGGTTGTATTCCTGGGAATACCCCCTTGTGTCTCTTAGGAGGATGGACACTGGAATTGCTGCTCCTGGAATGCAGGTAGCATCAGCACAGCGCTCACCAGGATTTGGGGTGTGCTGGTCCCTTGCTGGTGCTGGCTCTGACCACAACTCTCTGCTTTCCTGAGCAGTAAAGTCTTACTCATTTTCCAGGTTAAAAGAAAAAAAGGAACTTTTCTGCTTCCTCAAAAGTACTTGTAAATCATGTAATTTCTTACTTTTCAATGTAAATGAGATTTGAATGAATAATGCTAATTATTCATTCATCCTAATTCAAATCCTGTTTTAATTAGCCTGTGGGCCCAATTTCACTTTCATGCAGCATGAAACCTCTTTTGATCAACAACAGAACTGCCATGCATTTCTTCTTCTTTTTTTCTTGCTCAGCACATGTCTTTTTAAACTGCTTAAACCCAAAACAAAACAAATAAATCACTAATAAATTAATCAAATTTCACTTGCATGACCTGTGAGGACATATTTCAAGGGGGAGAAAAGTGTACTCTAGATATATTGATTCTCCTTAACAACCGCCTCAAGGCTGCAAAACCTCCTGCAGACAAACCTTTCTGAGGAGGTGCTGGGGAACTGTGGAAATGCAGAGACCTGAGAGCCTCAGCTCCCTGTTCCCTCTGGGAACTGTCTCCTGGCTGGAAGCCTCAACTCCAGGGGAAACTCGGAGCCAAAGCCTGTGCCTGGTGTGGGCTCAGCCAGGACAGGGGTAGAGCCCTTCCAGCCACAGTCACAGCATGGTTTGGGTTGGGATGGACCTCAAAGCCCATCCAGTGCCACCCCCTGCCATGGGCAGGGACACCTTCCACCAGCCCAGGTTGCTCCAACCTGACCTTGGACACTCTCAGGGATCCAGGGGCAGCCACAGCTTCTCTGGGCAAGCTGTGCCAGGGCCCCACCACCCTCACAGCCAGGAATTCCTTCCCAATATCCCACCTAACCCTGCCCTCTGGCAGTTTAAAAGCAGTTTATTCCTTGTCCTGTCACTACAGACCTGGATAAAATGTCCCCATTTTTCTTACAACTCCATTTATGCACTGGAAGGTCACAAGATGGTCTCCCTTCTCCAGGCTGATCTCTCTTCTCCAGGCTGACCAACCCCTGTTCTCTCAGCCTGTCTCCAGACCAGGGGTGCTCCAGCCTTTGGAGCATCTTTGTGGCCTCCTCTGGGCTGGCTCCAGCAGGTCCATGTGTCCTGTGGGACTCCAGAGAATCCCCCCCTCACCTGCTGCCCAGGGACAGTTGGATTTCTGAGCTGTCAGCACGTGTTGCCAGCTCATGTCCAGTTCCTCCATCTCCAGTATCTCCAGGTCCTTCCCTGCGGGGCTGATCCCCATCCCTCACCCACCCCCATCTGTGCTGATGTTGGGCTGTGCAGGATCTTGCCCTTGGCCTGTTCCAGGGCCCACTGCTCCAGGCTGTCAGGATCCCTGGGGATGCCACCCCTTCCCTCCTGTGGATCAGCATCTCCCCTCAGCCTGGTGCCATCCACGGACATGCTGAGGCTGTGCCCAGCCCCACTGATGCTGGAATGACAGGGAATGGCAGGAATGGAATCCTGATGCCAGAGAAGCATCACAGAAGAGCTTGGGCTGGAAGGGATCCGTAAGGATGATCCAATCCAGCTCCCTGATCCTCACAGAGCTGCTGAGTGCTGAGCTGAACCTGCACAACTCCCTGCACCCTCCTGCTCGTGTGCTTTGGGCTGCAGCTGCCAGTCTGGACTGGGATGGAGCACAGGGGATCCAGTCTGTACTGGGATGGATCCTAGGGGATCCAGTTTGTACTGGGGTGGAGCCCAGGGGATCCAGTCTGGACTGGGATGGAGCCCAGGGGATCCAGTTTGGACTGGGATGGAGCCCAGGGGATCCAGTCTGGACTGGGCTGGGCCTACTCTGTGCTGAGATGAGGCTGGGACATCCAGTTTGTACCAGGACATGAGCCAGTCTTTACTGGCCACAGGACAGTCTGTACTGAGCTGAGGCCACAGGATCCAGTTTATACTGGGCTGGGGCCCAGGCTGTGCTGGGAGTGGATCAGGGATCCAGTTTATACTGGGCTGGGGCCCAGGCTGTGCTGGGACAGGATCAGGAGATGGTTCTGGGGGCATTTGGGATTTGACAGCCTGGAGAGAGACTGGTTTTAACCCCCATGTGGTGTGTGTGGTGCCGCCTTCCAGGTCCCCAGCGGGATGGGGACATGGCTGGAGCCTCTGAGGTGTTTCAGTTCATCCCCACAGCCCACTCTGGGCTGGGGAGGGGACAGGGCACACCTTGGGGACTGTTCCTGGCTGCTCATGAACACCAGCTGTGCTGAACAGCTCCAGAGCTTTTCTGCAGGGAAAACTGATTTCTCTTCTCTCATGTACCTGGCCCAAACTCTTCTCCCTTCTCTCTGGGTGTCAGTGCCTGCAGAGCTTTAATCCAGGAGCCAGCTTGCTGTCAGACACGAGTGTCTGATGTTTGTGGATCCTGCCCGCTCCAAGGAGCCTCCTCTGCTGGAAGTGCTGGAATGAATTTATGACAAATACAAGGAATGAAAATCTCCCTCAAATGCACTTTCTGGCATGACTTAAATTAGCTGAAACTGCTGACATTTTGCCTTTCTGGGATGCGTGTCAGTGTCCATAAACTTTTCTTTCAAACATGGGAAAATTATTGAGTTAAATGTCTCCAGAAGAGATGCAGGAGGCGCGAGTGTAGGCTGGGTGAAGGTTACTGGGATGTGTCTGGGTGCTGCAGCATGTGGTGCCAAGGCAGGATGTGCTTCTCTAACCTTGGCTGATCCCAAGGTTGATCCTGCCCAAAACTGAAGGATAACACCACTTCCAGTGCCATTACTCTGCTTGTAGATTCTTGGGTCTGCATTGCATTTGGTTTGGATGGTCTGAACCTGGGATTGCAAAGTTTAGTGACTGGTCATTCTGCTTGGGCCAAAATGTTTCCTCAAAGACAAGGAAGTTCTTTGGCTGCTGGTGGGTCCTCCCATGTTCGTGCCATGCTCTGCCCAGGACTGGGACTGAATTTAGACTAAGTGGCACTTTACTGGGAAGAGAATGAGCTCTTCAGCAGCTTTGCAGCTTCACAGCCGGGACCTGCTGATTGACAGAGGTCAATTAGACAGTGCCAACTGTCAGACAATGCCAACTGCAACCGAGGGCTGGAGGGAGCCCCAGCCCACATGTGTGGGTGGGCAGGGTCTGTACACGGCTCTGGCACTCTGTGCATTGTTGTAACTGGTTGGGAATCCTCCTGGACAAGTCCCAGAACGACCCAGGTGCCCCGTGCCCTCCAGTGGCTGAGTGGTGACCAAGGGACGATCCCTGTGTCTCCCTCTTTACCGCTGCCCAGGAGCAGCCCAGCCTCAGGAACGTGTCTGCAGGTGGAAGGCACACCATGAAAAGCTGGCACATGACACAAAGGGATTTATCTGATGATGAGGTGGCAGCTTGTCTCAAAGTAAAGACTCTCCTACTGAAACCAGCACTCATTTCAAACTTCTCTGCTCTTAACTGAGTGTGACAGTATCTGAGGACTTTCAGGCTGCTTCCTGCTGTTATTCCAAATTTACATTGGCAACAGCATTTAATTAATTTAAAATTTACTTAGTAGTTTATTTTCAGAGCCCTAATGTTTTCAGTGAGTGAGAATTAACCCCTTCCTAAACTCCTTTGGGTTTTGTCTCCTTTTTAATTGACAAATCGTGGCGTATCAGCAGGAACGTGCCTGTCCTGTTTGCCCCCAAATCCAGGTGGGAAATGCCGAGCATGGGGGTGTCTGAAGCACTGTCTCCTGCCCCACTAGTGCAGAACTCAGGGAGGCAGAGCTGGCCTTGGATGTCTTTCTGAAATAGGGGTGCAGAGAGGGACTGCACCGGGACTGGAATGTCTGTTCTTTTTTTCCTGTTAAAAACGTGTTATTTCTGCCAGTTCTCTGTGGCACAAGGGCAGGGGCGTTGTGCAGGAGGAAGAGCTGTGATGGAAACCTTGGCAGGATTGCATGCACCTCTAACAGCTGCTATCTATGCAACACTTGTAATTTGTACGTGGCCCTCCTCGAGGTTAAGTGCAGGTGACCTGTCCAGCCAAGTCAGGACTGGTGATTTTTGTCTTACTTGATAATTCTGATGGCAGTCATGATCCTGAGCCTGCTGGTATTGAGATTCCCCCGTAACCCTTCCATTTCCTTCCCGTTTTTCTCGGCTACCCAAACTGATCTCTCTCACTGCCTCCCTTGCAGGCTCCTTGCCCGTCCCTCAGCTGGCTCTGAGCCCCCCGTGGTTGCCCTCTGATGTTGGGGGCTGTGCTGAAGGATGCGGGCGCCGGGGGCTGCCTCGCTGACAAGGAGGTAAGATCAGCCCCCTGCTCCTGATGGCACAGCCAGGGCTCACAGCCTTGACCTTGGCTCCATCACCAGCTTTCATCAGACCCTTACCCTTGAGGGCCCTCCCTTCCCTCTGAGCTGACATCCAGTCTGAGCTGCAGTCTGAGCGTGGTTTAAGCAGTGGATCTGTCCCAGCAATCCACGTCTCCCTCTTCCACTGGTAACTCATCTCCAGTTCTCAGCCTGCAAACTCGTGCCCACTTTGTGTGCAGCCACTTCCCAGCCGGGCCTGGGGAGGTCCAGCCTGGCTGCCAGGCCTGGCTGGGCTTGTGCAGAACTGCTGTAATTATGGCACTGATCTTGGATCTAATGTGGGAACCATTTGTCAAGACCTTGGCTACTGTTGATCCACTTAATGTGGTCTTTTTTAATACTCTCCTGTGCTATTTTTTTCTCTCAGTGCCACGAAGTGATAGATCAGATGTCCTGCACAGCCCATCCACACCATGTCCCTGCTGTTGGCTTTTCAGTGGGACAATGGGGTTACATTTGCATCCTTTAATTCTGCATTGTTTGCATCCCTCCACATTTCATTATGTTGCTTGTGAACAACTCTAGTTATGTGGAAGAAGCTGAACAGTTCCTAGTTTTCTTCTGGTCTCCTGAAATTTCTCCAGGTTAAGAATAAATCCCTTTTAAGATCAGAGTGCTGGAGATTTGTCCAGTTCTGGGTTTAGGATCTTTCACCAAATGTTCTGTTGTGAAAGTTTCTATTAATAATAGCAACTCACCTGGAGGAGAGAAGGCTCCAGGGAGACCTGAGAGCCCCTTCCAGGGCCTAAAGGGGTTCCAGGAGAGCTGGAGAGGGACTGGGGACAAGGGATGGAGGGACAGGACACAGGGAATGGCTTCCCACTGAGAGAGAGTAGGTTTAGATCAGATATTAAAAACAAAATCTTCCCTCTGAGGGTGCTGACACACAGATAATGTGTGTCTCTGTCTTTGGCTGGGGAGAAGCTTTGGGAGCACAGCACATTTTTCTGGGAAATGTCCCTAAACTGCTGCTTTCTGTCCCAGCAGACTCCTCGGAGGCCTGCAGAGGAGACGTAGGATCTTCAGGCAGGTTCTGGCAGCTGGATCCCGATAACAGGTGATGTCACAGCCACGGGTGGGTGTTGGGTGTAAAAGTGTGCAGTTTTCAGGCTCTCTTGGTTGAGGGTTTGCACCGTTTAGGCTCAGGCTGAGAAACTGATAAAAACTGGGGGGGACCTTGCTCGTTTCTTTAGATAAACTCACTTGACCGCCATGAGTTGGAGCTTCCTGACCCGCCTGTTAGAGGAGATCCAGAACCACTCGACCTTTGTTGGCAAGATCTGGCTGACGGTGCTGATCGTGTTCCGGATCGTGCTGATCGCCGTGGGGGGCGAGTCCATCTACTACGACGAGCAGAGCAAGTTCGTGTGCAACACGGAGCAGCCGGGCTGCGAGAACGTCTGCTACGACGCCTTCGCCCCCCTCTCGCACGTCCGCTTCTGGGTCTTCCAGATCATCCTGGTGGCCACCCCCTCCGTGCTCTACCTGGGCTACGCCATCCACAAGATCGCCCGCATGGTGGAGCAGGGCGAGGCCGGCAGGAGGGGCCGCAGGAGGAGCCTGCCCGTCCGCTGGAAGCAGCACCGCGGCCTGGAGGAGGCCGAGGGCGACCATGAGGAGGACCCGATGATGTACCCGGAGATGGAGGTGGAGAGCGTCCGGGAGAGCAAGGAGAAGCAGAGCCCCGCCAAGGCCAAGCACGACGGCCGGCGGCAGATCCGGGAGGACGGGCTCATGAGGATCTACGTGCTGCAGCTCCTGGCCAGGGCCCTGTTCGAGGTGGGCTTCCTGGTGGGGCAGTACTTCCTGTACGGCTTCCAGGTGAGCCCCGTGTTCGTGTGCGGCAGGAAGCCCTGCCCGCACAGGGTGGACTGCTTCATCTCCAGGCCCACCGAGAAGACCATCTTCCTGCTGATCATGTACGGGGTGAGCTGCATGTGCCTGCTGCTCAACGTCTGGGAGATGCTGCACCTGGGCTTCGGCACCATCCGGGACACGCTCAACAGCAAGAGGAAGGAGCTGGTGGACTCGGGGACCTTCAACTACCCCTTCACCTGGAACACCCCGTCGGCTCCCCCCGGGTACAACATCGCCCTGAAGCCGGAGCAGATGCCGTGCACGGAGCTGTCCAACGCCAAGATGGCCTACAGGCAGAACAGGGCCAACATCGCCCAGGAGCAGCAGTACGGCAGCACCGAGGCCAACATCCCCACCGACCTGGAGATCCTGCAGAGGGAGATCAAAGTGGCTCAGGACCGCCTGGACCTCGCCATCCAGGCCTACAACAACCAAAACAACCCCGGCAGCTCCAGAGGGAAGAAGTCCAAGGCAGGCTCGAACAAAAGCAGTGCCAGCAGCAAGTCGGGAGATGGGAAGAACTCGGTCTGGATTTAACGCCGGCTGAGCTGACGTACTGTGGGGTTTTTTTCCCCTAGTTTATCATCATAACCAGCAGCCCCGTCAATAATGGCTTCCACTAAGGGAATATTTGACTGTGGTTATTTTCAGGGATACCGTTGGCTAGTGATTCACCCCCTGGAAAGGGTTTACACACTGACTCTGGGATTACAGAACTTGATTCTTTTGTCTTCCAAGTCAGGAGGCAAATAGGTATATTTAATTCATTCTCATTGAACGGTTTATGCTGTATGTACAGTATTATAGTACATTTATTATGCACAATTTCTTTTGTATTTGTACACTGGATCTGATGTTCCACTTTTTATATCGACCAGGACAAGGCCATGGGTAGCCATTAATTAGCATTTTGTTAATTTTATTATTGTTGTCAGCAGTTATGTCGTTGTTCTTCCTTGTTTTCCGAGTAAAAGGTTTTTATAAAACTTTTCTATGCTGCGTTTCCGAAGTGCCTTGAACGTGCAGACAGTGGAGCCTCCACTCTCTGGGCAATCCCTGGGTGGGGAAATATTTGGGAAACTGTTCATGGTGCTCCTGACTCTGCCCTTTACTAAAATGATGTGCTGCTGGCAAACTGGAATTATCATCCCATAAACTCCTATGTCCCACAGGTTTTTTCTTCCCCCTATGGAAAATGACTTACAGGAAAAAAAGTGTGTATGTGTGTGTGGAGAGCAGGAGTGCCAGAGGTGGAGAGGGCTCAGACCTCCTTGCACGCTTCGTGCAACAGGAGGGAAGAGACACTTCAAAGTCCTGCAAGACATCCGAAAAAAACCTGAGTAGGAATGCCTGGATTCAGAAATTCCACATATTCCGGTGATGTTGATGGGAGGAGAAGCTTGTGAGGGTGGAGTAGCAAGGGCAGGCAGTGGAAGCTCCTGGGGAGGATTCCTGGCCCTGGTCCTGCCTCTCCCTCTCCCTGAGCCGGCACACAGGAGCTGTCTGGGGCAGCTCCACGAGGCCCTTCCCGAATATCCCTCATTCTGCCTTATCCCAGCCCCCTCTTCCCCCTGTTCTGTCCGAGGGGTTCAGTTCAGACAGAGCCATATGTACATTCAGCTTTCTGCCTGAGAGCCCAGGGTTTGGCACTGAGCAGGAGGGGAGTGCAGGACGGTGCCTCGGGCTCTGTCTTTCTGGCAGGGAGCCCCGATCGTCCTGGAGACACTCTGCAAATGTCTCTGCTTTCCGTGCTCTTGGTGATGGATTTGGGGCCTTGCTGCTCTCCCTGTTTGCTGTCAGGTTTTGGGGGGTTTCAGTGAGTTTTGGGGGCGTGTTTCAAGCAGGACTGTTGTGTTCCGGGGCTGCCTCAGCCCTCAGTCCCTCATCAGAGCCGGGTCAGGAGCAGGACTCAGGGAGTCCTGGAATCACAGGATCGTTTGGGTGGGAAGGGACCTTAAAGCCCATCCAGTGTCACCCCCTGCCATGGGCAGGGACACCTTCCACCAGCCCAGGTTGCTCCAAGCCCTGTCCAACCTGGCCTTGGACATTTCCAGGGATCCAGAGGCAGCCACAGCTGCTCTGGGCAGCCTGTGAGGAGTGAGGAGTGAGGCTCAGATAAATCCCTGCTCCATTCCCATCCCTTGGACACCCTCACAGAGGCTCCATGCTAAACACCCACCAAGGGAACAGGAGTGTGTCCTTGCTGTCCCCTCTGCACGAGCATTTGCTGATGAAAACAGTTGTTGTGCTGAGTTGTTCTGGTGTGTTTTCCCTCAGGTTCACCAGGCAGGCCAGGCGTGGATCCCGACTATCCCTGAGCAATCTGGAGTGCCCAGAGCCAGCACAGCCCCCGGGTGAGCCCCTCTGGGGCTGTGGGGGCTCTGGGAAGGGAACTGGCTGCTCAGCCCTTGGCTCAGCACTGACCCCAGGCAGCAGCAGCCGCTGGGTTTCGGGCAGAGCAGTGCCAGGGAGGTGTGTGTAAGGAAGGGCAGGTGACACGGGAGGACCAGAGCAAGTGGACATGGGCAGGGACAGCCCGTGAGGTGGGACTGGCTATGCAGGGGAGAGGAAAATCATTAATAGGGCTCCTCTAATTAAACAGGGGCTTGAAGAGAAGGAGCCACAGAGGCTCTGGCAGAGAGAGCTGTGAGCGTGGTGGGGAAACTGGGTGGAAAACGTGCCTGGAAGTGCGAGGGAGAGACATTTGGAGCCCGGAGATGAGCAGGGCTGGTGGCTGCAGTCCTGCTTGTTATGCCCAGCACTGGGGTGGTTCTGCTCACTGTCCCAAACAAGTGACGCTGTTCTTACCCCGTGTGGGGCTTTGGGAACAGCCCTTCACCAGGGAAAGCAGGGAAGATCCTTCCCCTCGGTGCTCTCTTCCCAAACTGCAGCGATTTCCTATTAATGGATTAAAATAAAGCAGGTTCCCACCCCCACTGCTCCCTGTTGTTTATTTCCCAATTAATGATCTGAGCCATCCCCCACACGAAGCTGCTGCCTCAGGTCAGTCCCATGAGCCCCTGCCCACCCAGTAAACCCCTGGTAGTGAACAGAGTCTCCAGAACATTCCAATCCCAGAGCTGGATTCACTCCGAAAATGCCAAGTACTGGAGCTGTTTCTGTTGCTGCTTTTTATTTCCACTTTAATTGTGTGTGGAGTGCACATTTTGTTGGAAGCTGAGCGTGTGTTGGTCGTGGGGTCTGTCACAGCTCCCTGTTCTGGCTGTGGCCGATTCCAGAGCATCAGGCTTGATATTTCCTTTTGAAGAAATGACACCTTGAATTGCTTTAAAATGCCCTTGCTTTGGCTTCATGTGAAGGTCATTCCAAAATAAACGTCCAGGAGAGACTTTGGCACAAAAAATACTGGATGGAACTTGGGTTTGTGGTGACATTCTCTGGGTTTGGATAAAAAAAAAAAAAATGTTATTAAATCCAGTGGATTACTCCAGTCTGAGTGAGATGGTTTCTTTTTTTCCAGCAATAGAATATGGGAGGGAGAGGGATGTTTAATGATTTGTCTCAGAGCCACGATTTGGGATTCTTTCTATATTTGACCCTGTTTAGTGAAGAAAAAAGGGGTCGGCTTGGAACCAGCTGCGCCTTTTACGTGGGAGTTGCTGTGCAGGGCCGAGAACAATGGCGTTAAAAGAGGGAAAAACCCACGAAGTTTGGAAGTCGGGCCTCGGAAAGGGTGGCACTTCGGGGAGGAGGGAAATCTGCATGTGTGCATATGGATGAGCATGCGGGCAGTGCCCAGTGAACTGTGCTGCATTAGCTGCCCCAGTTGAGCCGCGGCTGCAGGAGCCGCTCCTGCCACTGTGCCTGTCTGGGGCTGTCACAGGGTGGCTTTGCTGAGTGTCCCCGCTGTCCCCTCGCCGCCGCTCTGACCTCAGCCCGGGGAAGGAGGGTTTGCCGCGTGTGCGGCCGGGAGGGCGCTGGGAGGGAACAAAAGCTGCTTGTGCGGAGCGAGGGGAAAGCGGGCACTGAGCTGGGGGGACAGGGGGGGTGGCGGTCACCCAGGGCAGCTCCAGCGCTGATAACTCTGATTTCTCCACTGCCAGGGCCCCCGAGCAGCCCACAGGCTCCACAGTCTGGGGGAAGTGCGTGGAGCAGGGAACAGCCCAGATTCCATTGCCAGCTCCATGCCCGGGGATGGTAACACCATTCTGCAGCACGCCATGGGTTCCCGTGCAGGGATCACCAGGATCTGGGCTCCTGCGGCACTGGCATGGATTAAAGTGCAGGGATCACCAGGATCTGGGCTCCTGCTGCGTTGGCACGGGTCAAATTGCAGGGATATCAGGGATCGGGGCTCCTGCTGCTCCGTCTGTCTCTAAACACGCGGTTCTCCCCGGGTGAGTCCCCGCAGGCAGCCCCAGGCCCCGGCTCAGCGTGAGCTCCGGGGTTTTTGAGCACCGAAACCTTTTCTTAACAATGAATTCCCAGCGAGAAGGTCCGAAATGCCTTTAAAGCCCTGCTGCGAACGCGGGGACGGTGCCAGCGCTCCGGCCCTGCCCTGCACGGTCTGGTGAGAGCCAGCCTTGCCGTGCTCGATGCAAACACACCGGGAGCAGCCGAGGCGGAGGTCAGAGCCGGGATCACACGCAGGCTCCGGGCAGATGCGCGGAGCTGCCGGAGGTGCCCCTGGGTGTTTGTGTGGCCTCCAGCTGCAGCTCCGGGAGGGAGCAGAGCTGCTCCCAAGGGTGCCCCTGTCACATCTGCCACCCCCGGGCCGATGCCTCGGGTGCCCGAGGGCCTCTCCCACAGCACCACGCGTCTAGACGTGATCCCAACTGAGCCCTCGCTGACGGCTCCACCTCCTTTCCCTCCGCTCTAAAGTGAGGATAACACGATTTGTTTGGTATTGGATAGCGCCAGTATAAACGAGATCCTCGCTGCAGGGTGAGTTTCCCCTTGGAAGCATAGGTTGGGTGTTAAATATTGTCAGCACCGAGTGCTCCTGCCTGTAGTTCTGTAGCAGCTGCTTGTAGGGAGGCACGTTTCGTCCTTGTAGCTTGGTTTGTCAATAATTCAGGATTTCCTGGTCCCAGGCACACAGGGCTGGCTGGCTGGGAGGTTCCAGGCAGAGGAGCTGTTCATTGAGACGTGCTCAGTGCCTGATCCCTGTGAATGGGACACGCTCTGCTCAGCTACCGTGAAACAGCTCCTGAAGGACGGATCCATGGGCAAGAGGGAAGCGCTGTTTGTGCTGGAACTCAGTGCAATCCACCCTCTGCAGCAGCAGAGGAAGGAGCTCGGGGGCTTCTGCTCCCAGGGAAATTGCCATTCTTTTTCTCTGTTTCAGAGGAGACTCCAAATACCAGTTCATCATCGCTCAGGAAATGACATTTTGTTTTCTGCAGCGTGACATTATCGCTGTTGTGTAAATTCCATGTTGATAGCTGGGGAAAATGCCTTGGAAGGGGGATTTAAAGGCATCTCCTCAGCTCTCATGTGGCCTAGGGAGATGTGGGCAGTCCAGGCTTTGCTGTCCTCCTCCCTTCCATTTTTTCTGTTGGACAGGATGTTCTGGGGACTCTTTGGCTGTTCCCACCCTGCCCTTCTCCAGGTGCCCAAGCTGTGACTCCCAGCTGAGCTTCCTCGTGGCCTGGATTCCCTCTGTGGGGTGAGGTCTGGCTGAGCAGGAGCAGGAGCTGTGAACCCACTTCCCTGTTGTGTCCCCTGGAATGTGCTTTGCCAGGAGGTTCCCCTTGGAATTCCGATGCCATTCAGGATCCCTGGCCCTGGCAATGACTGAGATTTCTTCAGTGAGCAGCCAAGCAGAGCTGTGGTTCATCTCTGCTGTGAGTGTTGGGGAGTAAATTCCTTTTGTTTTTTCACCTCTGAGTGTTTCTTGTCCCTAGAAAACCGATATTCCCATTTATAAATATTTGCCAGGTTTTTTATATCTTTTTTTTTTTTTTCATAAACTTGAAATCACCTGAAAATCCACGATCTGCAAACTCTTTAAAAGGCCTGTTCTGTGCCAAAAATGGGTTTGGAAACACGTTGATGCCCTCGTGAGAAGGACCTGGAATTCCAGGACAAGGGGGAAAGGCTTCCCACTACCAGAGGGCAGGGTTAGATGGGATACTGGGAAGGAATTCTCCCCTGTGAGAGTGGGCAGGCCCTGGCACAGGTTGCCCAGAGAAGGTGTGGTTGCCCCTGGATCCCTGGAAGAGTCCAAGGTCAGGCTGGGATGCTCTGCAATGCTCCAGTTTAGGCATATTTTGTATTTATTTAGGCATTTTGATGTCCAGTGAGGGAGGGGAAGATCCCTGTAAAGGAGATCTCTGGGAAAGGGTTGTAACCAGTGCAGGGTGAGGAGAGAGTTACATAAAATTCTCTGTCCTGGAGGCCCCAGTGCCACTGATATCCCAGAGAGCAGAGCCAGGATTCTGAGAGACCTCGAGCCTAATTTAACCCAATTCAACAAAATGCTCGTCTCTGGTTACGAATTTAAATTCTTAAGGACTGGGAGGAAAAACTCAGGAAAAAGGGGGGAAAAAGGAGCCTTTTCTTTGTCAGCTGCCGGTTTAATTGGGCAGCCTCTGTTCCCTGGTTCTCCCCAGGAGGGCCCTGCGCGGTGCTGGGGGCAGGGGCAGGGTGGTCCCTCCCGGTGGGAGCAGCTGCCGGGGCGGAACGGGCCCGCCGGGAATTCCCGTGGAGTCCTGGTGACCTGGATTTGAACCGCCTGAGCTGCCCCACGGGGGCCGCACCTCTGCTGGAGATCCCTGCCCGACCACGCGGGGGTTAAAGCGGAGCTGCTGGAGTGCCTGGAATGACACGGGCTGTGAGCTGGAAGAGACCCACGAGCGATGCAGGCAGCACGACATCGCTCCTTAAAGGGCATTGGGACATTTTTCTGAGCGTTGTCTGGCCATGACAGGCTCCAGGAATTGGGTTTCCCCCGTTTTCCCCGGGACAGTCGTGCCCTCCCTCCCCCCGGAGCCGGCAGTTAAAGGACACCAAAGGTTTCGATCACGTTTTCGGGCCACTGGCTGGTGACAATCCTTCCCCTCCCCTACTTGTCTGGGCTCTCACCCCCCTCCAGCCCGCGGCCTCTCACGGTCCCTGCTGCTTTGACCCCCAGCGCGTCCGGCTGCGAGAGGCTCCACCGCATTCCCGTCGGGATTTGTCCCCAGTGCCGTGGGGCTGCCGATGCTCCAGCTGCTGAGCTGACCCCAGGGCTCAGCTCCTCTTCCCTTTTGCCTTTCCCCCTGACAGGAGCAGTTCAGTGCGTGGCTGCTCCTGGCAGGTCCCTTCTCCCCGCCCCGAACTTGTTAAGCCTCAAAGAATTTTTAAAAGTGATTTTGGGTTTGTGAGCAGCCCTGGGAAGGCTGAGTTTCTGCTCAGGTCCTTGTTCTGTGCTGCTGAAGGATCCTCACTAAGAACAGGGTCAGTGGTAACTCAGACTGGCCAGAGGAAGGTCCCAGCTCTGCTGCCTTTGCATTTACCCAAAAGCCAAACAGTCTCAGCTTTGCTCTGCAAAATTCTTCGAGCCCCAGGTGACACCTCCTCTCCCTCTCCTCTCCCTCTCCTCTCCCTCTCCTCTCTCCCTCTCCTCTCTCCCTCTCTCTCACCTCTGTCTCTCTCCCTGTAACTCTGTAAAACTGTCCTGTCTCCCTCCTCTCCTGTCTGTCGTCCTCTGTCTTAAATGTCATGTAAATGTGTGTAAATAGTGTATTAAGCCACTAAGTGTGTGAAATATTAATGTATTAAAATATTAGTATGTAAAAATGTGAATGTGCATGTGAAATGTATGTGTGTATTAGCATTAAATATGTAAAATATTAAATTATTAACATGTGTGTTATTAGTAATAGTGTATAGTAATAAATGTATTAAGTGTAAGTATTATCATGTAAATATATATTATGTGTATTAGTAGTAGTATTATTAATGATGTGTACCATATTGTGTGTGTGTAGAAATATTATTATTATAGTATTAATGTAATGTGTAACAAATAATGTCATATTATGTGTATATAAATGTGTATAATGTGTAATCAATATTAAATATTATTAATATTAAGTATTAATGTATTATGTGTGAATACATATATATTAAATATTAAATATTAATAATTAAATGTGTAATAATATTAAATAATAATAATGTAAAAATGTTAATGTCATATTAATATTATATACTAAATATTAAATATTAATTAATATATGTAAAAATATAATAAATATATAATATAATGCTAATATAAATGAAGTAATAATGTGTATAAATAGTAATATATAGTGTAATAAAATAATATGTATTAAAATAATAAATAGTAATAAATGTATAATAATAATAATATTAATAATCAATGTGATAATAAATATATATATAATATATAATAAATAATATGTATACTATATATGTAAAATAATAAATGTATTAAAATAATATGTATAAATATATATATATTAAATAATGTATTAAAATATTAATGTATATAATATGATAATAATAAATAGTAATAAATATAATATATTATATATGTAAATATCATATAAAATAATAATATAATATGTAATAATAATATAAATATGTATTATAATATGTATAAATATATTATTATAATATTAATGTAATAATAATATTAATGTATAATAATATATTAATATAACCATGTAAAAACGCAATCAAATAGTGTGTAAATTAACATGTAAAAATGTAATGTGTATGCATATATTAAATATATATCATATTAAATATATGTATATAAATATATGTAATATATATATTAAATATGTATAAATAATAAATATTAATAATATTAAATATAATAATATATAATATGTAATATAAATATTAATAAATATATTAATAATGTAATACCATGTATTAATAATAATATTAATATAAATATTAATATTAATATATAAAATAATAAATATTAAAATATTAATGTCATGTAATATCAATAATAAATGTTAATATATATATAATATATTAAATAATAATATGTAATATTAAATATAACCCTCTCCTACTAACCCTGTACCTACTCCCTACTCCTCAATCCCTCTCCTCTCCCTCTGCCTCTCCTCTACCTACTCCCTACTCCTCTCCCTCTCCTACTCCCTCTGTCCCTACTCCTCTCCCTCTCCTCTCCCTCTCCTCTCCCTCTCCTCTCCTCTCCTCTCCTCTCCTCTCCTCTCCTCGGTTTTGGGGTGTTATTTCCCTCCCCTGGGATGTGCCCCCTTGGAATGGGATGTGCCCCGTGGATCTGGGATGTACCCCGGGGATCTGGGATGTACCCCGGGGATCTCTCCCTTCAGGACACAATTCCCTGTCTCTCCCCACGGCAGCAGCGGTGCCTCCCGACCATCTGACATGTCCCTCTGCTCCCAAAGGCGCCCCAAACATCCCAGGAGGGGCCTGACCCTCCCTCTGCTCACTCAAACTGCTCACCTGGGACCCCCTCACCCCCTACATGAACCCACCACCACCTTCCGGGGGGGGTCCACGAGGGTTCCTGTCCTTGTGCTCACCCCAAAAGCAGCGTCTGCCTCGTTAGATCAGAGCTGAAAAATCGCAGCCAGATGGTCGATCATCAGCTTCAGCAACCAGAGGAGTGGGGATATTTTAGGTTCGAGGGTTTCCCATTTATGCAATGGCGCAGACACGGGGGGAAGCGTTGGATTCTTGTTTCTTTGGGCTTGCTGATAATGAGGGATTTGTCTGGGGTGGTTTTTTCCCTTAGGTGAAGGGTCTGAAGCACCAGGAGCGGCTGAGGGAGCTGGAGGGGGGCTCAGCCTGGAGAAAAGGGGGCTCAGGAGGGACCTTCTCGCTCTCTGCAACTCCCTGACAGGAGAGTGGTCCCTGAGTCAGGAGAAGGGAAAGAGCCGAGGACAGGCAGGAATTCTGCACACCCATCTGTGCTCTGAAGCTGGGGCAGCTGAGTGGTGGGATGGGGGAGCTGGAAAGGAGCTGGAGCAGTTTGTGATGGAGGGAAGTGGCAGCCTGGGGTGTCAAGTGCTGTTGATTGGGCACTGGATCTGCTGCCTCCTGCAGTTTTTGTGGTCCTGGGGAGTTGACCAAGGAGCATCCCCCTTGTCCAAGGCACATCCAACACACCCTGGTGACCTCGCGAGTCCCAGCCCCTGATCGTGCATGGGGGGTGTTGTGTGACCCTGTGGGGCAGCAGGATGGAGCTGGGCCCACCTTAAATCATGGTTTTTTGCCCTGTTGACCCTGAAGACTCCAAATAACTCGAGATTCAGAGGCAGCCTGTGCATCTGGAATATTTCTGACTCACTCGTCGCGCTGGTATCTCGACACCAGCCCAAAATAGCTCCGTGCTGTGGTGCAGCTCCGCCGTGGCTGGAGCAAAGCTGCACTAAAGCCTTTCTGGGGTGCAAAGACGCCCCTGCAGCAACAGGCTCAGGGTGCCAGGGGTGGGGGAACAGCCCCGTTTGCTCCCAGCCCTGCCCCGGCCGGGGAGGGCACTGTGGGGAGGGGGCAGTACCGGGGGGCTCCCGGGGCAGACCCCTCAGCTCCACTGTGCCCACTCACCCCGTGCTCACCACCGCGGCCAGGGACACCTCCAGCATCTCCCTCTCCCCACCCCACACCCTGTGAGGCTGCAGGCACTGGGGCAGAGCGAGGGGACGATGGTGATCCCGTTAATAAGATGGGCTGCACCCTTCCAGAACCAGAAAGAGGCCCCCACCTGGGGCTGGGTTAACCCCCCCTCCCAGGAGGCAGCCCCCAGGGACCACCCTGGCAGCCCCCCGAGGTGCTCAGGGCACCCCCAGCGCGCCGGGGCAGAGTATTGGCCCCGTGCTCGACATCTCCTCGCAGGGTGCTGGGGCAGGGATGTTGTCCTGCCACGCTTACGGGGGCACCAGAACGGGTCCCTTCAGGGCTCTGCGGGGCAAGGGGCACTTCCATCGCCGTGTTTGGGGGCTCGGGGGGGTTGGTAATAGCAGGAATTGTTCGGCATCCTTCCCCTCGTCCCCTGCGGGCAGAGAAGGGGTCCCCCAGGGGAACGATGCTCGTGTGGTGACCTCCCATCCGCCACCTATTCTACCAGCAAAGGACCCTGACAAGGGGATGTGCTGCACCCCCCACCCCCAGCCTGTGCCTGTGTCCCCGCAGCGCTGTGCCCGTGTCCCCGCAGTCCGTCCTCCCGGAGCGGGGCTGGGGTCGCGGGCACACGCGTGGCCCTGGAGCATCTCGGGGACGTCAGGGATGCGGGTCCAGCCCGGGCCCGCATGGGCTGGGCTGGGAGAGCCCTCTCCTGGTCGGTGGCTGCGCAGGCGATCCTGGCTTTTCCAAGGAATCAACCCCTTGTGCCAGGGAGTCCGGCTGTTCCCGGGAGCCCGGCCCAGCCCCAGCTCAGCGTTATCCGGGCTGGTTCCACGGGAAGATGCTCCACGCTCGTGGAGCCCTCTGGGAGTTGCGATCCCGTCCCCCAGATCCCCTCTGCCAGGAGTTGCTGCCAGGATTCTGGGCGGTGCTCACCCAGCTGAGGCTGTCCCTGGGATGGGACGGTGTCCCTGGGATGGGACCGGGACTGGTGCCCGTGGTGGGACAGGGATGGAGCAGTGTCCTCACACTGGGAATGAGCATCCCTGTGGTGGGACAGCGAGCAGTGTCCCCTCAGTGGGACAAGGTCCCCAGCCAGGTAAAGGCTCAGAGGGGGCTTGGTGGCACTCGCCGTGTGCCATGGGCTCCGTACTGGGAGACTCCCGACTCAGACATGGAAATTGTGCCCGGTGTGGGACGTGGGGAAAACATCAGCGGGATGAGCTGGAGGGGACCAAGGACCGGAGCATCCTCAGAGCTGAAATCTGGGGAGGTTCCTGCCCCCCTCCCCGCGCGGGTGAGAAGCGGAGCCCCCATCGTTTTCCAAACCTTTATTGTAAATAAATTTCTACGACATTGCACTAGGCGGCCGGGGCCGGAGCCGGGGCCGAGCCAGGAGCACGGGGCAGCTCCGGCGGCTCCAGCGGCGGCTCCAGCGGCTCCCAGCACGTGCAAAGCAGGAGCGGAGGCGCGGTGGGCGAGGGAAGGGGGGCGGTGGAGCCCCCCGGCCCCGACCCGGCTGCGGTAGCGGAGCGAGGCGGTGCGGGACGGCGGCGGTGCGGGGAGGGGGTGCGGGGGCTCCCCGCCCCGCTGTGCTTGTCCCGGGCCGCGGGACAGGACGGGGCCCGTGGGCTCAGCCTGCGGGGGCCGGGGAGGGGGTTCTGCTCTCTTGGCTCTGGAAGCACCGGGTGTCCCCCACCCACCCGCCACGCCACGGGTGTCCCCCCTGCCCCCACCACGGGCCCTTCCGCCCGCCCTTACAGCGTTAAAATCATTAAGAAAAGTCCCGATATTTATATATATATATATATATTAATGTCCCCAAACCCAGTGACAACGGTGGCTTCTTGCTCTGAGCCAGAGGCGTCCCCTCGCCTGGGGAGCACCTCGGCACTGCGGCTGTGACAGCTGTGGGGACACTGCGGTGACAGTGATAGAGACGGGGGTTGGTCCAGACCCCTCCCATGCCCACGGTGGCCTCAGGTCCCCTCCCCGTGTCCCCCAGCCCATCGCTCACATGTCACACAAGAAGCCACCAGAGAAGCCCGGCCTGGGGATGTCCAGCCACCCCCACCCTGCTATCACCCCCCACCCTGTCCCCTGTGGTGCCACCTGTGGGTGCTGTGGGTGCCCAGTGGGGCTGTCACACCAGGCTGGGGCCATCGCGTGCCTTGGCATGGGGACACCCTCGGTCACCCTCTGTCCCCATGCAAAGGGGCTCAGTGATGGGCAGAGACACCAGGCAAGGGGGACACACAGGGGGACACCCCCACACTGGCGTGGCCATGGCATGTCATCCCCCGTTGTGCCCCTGCCGAGTGTCCCCACACACACAGACACACACCCCGAGTGTCACCAGGGTGTCCCCCCCCATGCTGAGTGTCACCAGTGGTTGAAGGGACCAGTGTGGCCCCTGGTGCTCTGTGGTGCTGTGGGTTGGGTGGCCCTACAGAGCCACCCCATGCAGGGTGACATGTGCCACATGCCTTGGGGATGGGGTCACACATCCCCCACACCTGCCCTGGGGATGGGGAACACCCCTCCGGGGGGGGACGGGTGCCACAAGCCTGTCCTGGGGCTGGGGTGACACGTGTCACCCGTGAAACTGCCCCACGTGCCACCAGCCCAGGGCTCACCCTGTACCCCAGTTCCCCACTCTAGAGGGAGAGCTGACACCCGTGGGTGCCGGTCCCACCACTGGGGACCTCGGGGTCCCATGGCTTGGGGGGTGTAGCCATGACAGGGGGGGTTGGGGGAAGTTTGAGGGGGTTTATCCCATATGGGGGCTGCTGAGCCACTTTTGGGGGGGTGGGGGAGGAGGGAGGCACATCTGGGGGTGCAGTCCTTGGTCCCCGTGAGGGCTGGGGGGACACAACTCCCAGGCCCTGCACTGGGAGGGGGTGCTGGCCTGGTACTGGGGGTACTGGCCTGGTACTGGGGGTACTGGCCTCGCCCTGGGGTGCACGGGGCTGCCTTTTGGGGCCCCCAGGCTGGAAGATGCTGCTGGGGGGGCAGGGAGGGGGATGTGGGGCCGGGGGCTCCCCTTGCCCCCGCAGGTACATTCATCCCGGTGCCGAGTGCCGCCAGCCCGGGGGGGCCGGGGGTCCCTGTACATTCGTGGTGGTGCAGTGGGGGGTCGGGGGGGTGGTCCCGGGTGGCCCCCCCACCGCTCTCCTCCTCGGCCGGACCCTCGGCAGCGCCGCCCCATTTAATTGCTGTTAATGAGGCGCTGGGGGGGTGGGGCAGAGCGGCCCCGCTCAGGCCCCCCCGGACCTGCAACACAGAAGTGGGGTGTGTTTAGTGGGGGGCTGTGACAGGGGGGTGACACATGGGGGGGGACACTGAGCTGAAATGAGCCAGCACCGGGGGGGGGGCTGCTGCCAGGCCCCCCCAGCCGCTGTCCCTGTTCAGCCGTGGGGGCACAGAGATGGAGACAGCACGGCCGGACACACAGCGACACGGACAGACGGGCCCGGGGGCTCCCACGCCGTCAGGCTGCCGGACGGTGACGGTGACGGTGACAGGGACGGTGACGGGACGATGGGGGGGACACGGTTACACTCCCTGCTGCGCCGGGTCGTACCTTCCTCGGCGGATGTTCCTTGGGGGGGTGGCAGGGGGAGAGGAGAGGAGCATTAGTGCCACCCCCCAGTCTCTGCTGTCCCCCACGGTGTGTCCCCCCACCCCCGTGTCCCTGGTCCCACAGGCAGCAGCAGTGTCCCGGTGCCAGGCAGGAGCACACACAGGGGGCCACCGACACAGCCCCCGCCCCGGCACCCCATGCTTGGGGACAGACACGGCCACGGGGCCGGGGTGACAGTGACACCCCGATGGCACATGCAGGCAGAGCAGGCAGGGCCAGGGGGCAGGCAGGGGCTGGGACAAGAGACCAGGCAGGGCCAGGGGACCAGGCAGGGACAAGGGGACCGGGGGCCACGCTGCAGGGGATGGCCAGCCGGGATGACTGGCAGTGCCCCGGGGGGGCACAGGCCTGGTCCTGGGGTGGTGGCGGTGCACGGGGGGGACGTGGCCGGTGACAGTAGCAGAGGGGACGAGCCATGCGGTGGCTGCTTACTTAAATCCCCAGCCTGTCCCCCCAAGGACGATGGCAGCCACCAGCACGGCCCCCGCGATGGAGCCGATAATGATATTGGTGCCACTGGGACCTGTGACAGAGGGGACAGGGAGGAGGGCACAGGGTCACACGTCAGTGGGAAGGGGACAGGGGGACATGGGGACACAGCCCCAGCTATGGTCCAAGGCCAGGGGGACTTGGGAAAGGGACAAACCCAGCCATAGGGAACATGTCAGTAGGAAGGGGACATGAGGACACCAGGACACAGCCCCAGAGCAGTCCCAGCGCCGTGAGGACCTGGGAGGGGGACAAACCCAGCCATAGGGAGACACCTCAGTGGGGAGGGGACACGGGGACACAGGGACACAGCCCCAGGGACACCCCAGTGCTGTGGGAGGGGGCGCAAACCCAGCCGAGCTGTGGCACCAGGGTGGGGGGACGCTCTGGATCCCCAGTGCGTGTGTGGACAAAGTGGGACCGCCCCAGTCTGTGGGGCCAGGGGCCAGCGGGGTCGCAGGGAGCCCGTTCCCCCCCCGCGGGCACACGGACCCTTGTATCGCTCCGTCTCCCCCGTGGGCTTCGGCTCTGGGATGGGGTCGTAGACGCTGCAGTCCTTCCCCGTCCACTCCGCCCGGCAGATGCACTTCCCCTCGTTGCTGCAGACCTACGAGGGGACGGTGTCACCCCCGTGACCACGACACCCCCCGGGTCCCCCTGTCCCCGCCGTGCCCCTCACCCCGTGGTCGAAGCAAATCTTCCCGTCCCAGCTGCCGGGGCAGGAGCTGAAGTTAAAGGCGGTGGCTGGAAGGCATTTGCGGTCGAGACAGAGCATTCCGGGCCCACAGGGCGTCCCGTCCTCCACGTAGCTCAGGTCTGAGCCGTCCACCAGCTGCACGTGGCCCCCCCTGTGCGGGGACAGCCGGAGTGGGTGGCACCGGGACCGCCCTGACCGGGGGGACACCGCCGTCCCCGCGGTGACACCCACCTGCAGTCCCCGCCGTGACACCCACCTGCAGTCCCCGCCGTGGCACCCACCTGCAGTCCACGTAGCGGTTCTGGTGGAAGAAGGTGGTGGTGGCGATCTCCCCGCTGAGCTCCCCCACCCGCGGCGACCCCGAGATGTTGGCGCAGAGGAGGAAGCCGCAGAGGACGTCCCTGCAAGGCGGCGGTGGTGTCACCGGGGCGGCGGGTGGCACCGGGAGGGGGCGCGGGGACGAGGGTCACTCACTGCTTGTTGCACTGCAGCCAGCCCAGGCCCTCGCGCCCGCAGTTCCCCCGCTCCGTCCCCTCCACGTTCAGCTTCTCGTAGCAGAAGCGCTCGGCCGAGCCTGGGGGAGAGCGGGGGTCACCCGCCTGTCACCCCCTGCGTCCCCCCAGCCGCCCCCGGCCCGTACTCACCCCGGCCCCACAGAGCGTTGCACTGACGGTCTCGGGTTTTGCAGCGCCCGCCGTAGCACCGGCCCTGTGGGAGGGGAGAGGATCAGGGGCTGGAGAAGGACTGGGGGCTGCAGAGGGGTCAGGGGGCTGCAGGGAGGTCACTGGGCTGCAGAGGGGCTGTGCATGGATGTGGAGATAGGTGGTGCAGGGACAATGAGCCCCCACACACGTGCCTGGCCCCGAGCCCACCGCCCTGGCTCGTGTGGTGCAGGGAGTGGGAGCCTCACGGGTGCACAGGACACCCACAGGCTCACCCCAAAACCCACACAGACTGATTTGGGATGGAAGGCACCCTAAAGACCATCCATTCCACCCCCATTCCACGGGCAGGGACACTTTCCACTAGGCCAGGTTGCTCCAAGCCCCGTCCAGCCTGACCTTGAATGGTCCCAGTGCTCTTCCAACACTGCCAATCCCCAGTGCTGGAGCCCAGGGGGACATGCCCAGCTCCAGGGCCCTGTCTGACCACACGGGGCTGGACTCACCTGCTCGTTCTCACAGAAGTATCCATCCAGCTTGTGGAGGTTGGGGGGACACTATGGGGACACGGAAAAGAGGACGGGTGATGCCACATGGGCCCACAGTGTGTCCCAGCGTGTCCCCGGCCCCACTCACCTGGCTGGAGTCCCCGGTGCAGCTCTCGGGGATGTCACACTCGTTCACGGCCTCCCGGCAGGACACACCTCGGGGCTCGTACTGCACAGGGCGTGACACCAACACCAGGGGTGGGACAGAGTCCTCAGGGGATCCCCAGATGCAGACCCCAGGAGCCCCCCCAGCCCCACACCTTGCAGCCCTTGCAGCAGAGCCCGTCGCTGCACATGGCGTCGTGGGTCAGGGTGCACTTCTTGCAGCAGTTCCCCCCGCTCCTTGCACACTCCTGCCAGGACAGCAGCCAGAAACACAGCCATCAGCCCCCTGGCAGCCCCGAGACCCCCCCACAGCGTCGGGGAGCAGCCCCCCGTGTGGTGAGCAGTCCCCCGTCCCCGCTCACCGCCAGTGAGCCACAGTCACACTCCTCGCCCGCCTCCACGAAGCCATTGCCGCACTCCGGAGGGTCCAGGAGCTGCCGGGACCGAGGGGGGGACATGGCACACACACATGAGAGCTGCTGGGGGTGCCCCGAGCCAGGTGCTGCCACGAGCCCCCCAGAAAGGGCATCACATCCCTGGGGAACAGCAGCTCTCAAGCACGAGGGTGCAGCTCTTCCCTGGACCCTAATTCTACACCAGCACCGTTACCTTGGCTGTGACAGGGGTTGGGGACACCACGAGTCCCCGGAGACCCCGGGAGCCACCCCCGGAGCATCACTCCCTGCTGTGACCCCCAGGGTCGGAGGGGGGCCGTTACCTTGAGGGGTTTGTTGAAGAGGCAGCTGCCGCCGCCGTCCTGCAGGAACTGGTTGTACTCGTCGATGCTGCAGCGGGAGAACTTCCTCGGGAGGTAATACCTGTGGGGTGGGGGCCACTGTCACCCCCTGCCCTGTCTGGGGCACGGCCAGGGCCCTGAAGCGGGGCAGGACCCTCAGCAATGCCCCTGCCGGGGGCAGTGATACGGGGTGTGCAGGGGACGTGGCAGTGCCACCCCGAGCGGGCACGCACCCTGTGTCCTCCATGATACAGCCCAGCCACGGGTCCGGACACCGGCAGTCCCCTGGGGGCAGAGCAGAGGGGTTAGGGGGTGCTGGCTGTCCTGTGACAGCCTGGTGGCCCCGCGGTGTGTCCCCACTGTCCCCATACCCCGTGGGTGGCGGGCGGTACCTGCGGCCGTGCGGTGCTTGTTCCACATCATGCCCACGTTCTGCCCCAGGGTCTGTGCCAGCGTCACCGCCATGGCCGCCACGTTTCCGTACTGCACGGGAGCCACGGGGGTCACCGTGGGGACCCCCGGCCCTGTGCCCAGCCCGCCCTCACGGGGGTCTCTCCGCACCCACCTCGTTGACGCCGCCGGCGCGGGTGGGGGAGCAGATGCCCCCCACGAAGGCGGTGCCGCTGCGGCTGCTCTGGAAAGTCCGACCCCTGCGAGGAAGAGGATGGTGGGGACGGGGGACGCAACCCCCGGGCCCGGGGAGCGCAAGAGAGCCGTGGTGCTCACGAGAAGAGGTGGACGGTGTCGCTGTGCTCCGCCAGCCCCTCCCGCCGGTACTTCACAAACTCGTTCAGGGTCTCCAGGGAGTCGTGTCCCATCCGGATCCGATCCTCCGCCGCCCACGTCTCCATGGCCACCAGCACGATGCGGGTGTTGAGCTGCTCCTTGTAGATCTGCGGGGACGAGGGGACGGTGCTGGGGATGAGACCCCTCGCAGGGACAAAGCCACCAGCTACCGGGACAAACCCCTGGGGACAAATCTCCCGGGAGCGGGACACACACACCTCTCACCAGGGACAACTCCCCAGGGACAAGCCACCAGTGGGACAAACCCAGCAGGTGCCAGAGGAAAACAAATAGTGGGACAAATACCCTGGGGATCAACTCCCAAGGGACCAGCCCATCAGGTGCTGAGGACCAACCCCATGGGATAAACCAGCCAGGAATGAGGGACAAGCTCCCCGGGGACAGACCCACCAGCTGCTGGGGACAGTCCCCTCAAGGACAAACCCCCAGTGACAAACCCACCAGGGGCTGGGGACAAACCCACTCTCCAGGGACAAGCCCACACTGGGGACAAACCCCGGAGAATGAGCCCCCCAGGAGCAAACACAGCGGGTACCAGAGATAACCCCCCCAGCTACAACCCCCCCGAGGGACAATCCCTGCCCCAGGATCCCCCTCACCATGTCAGCCAGGTTGACCACGGACTTGGCGAAGTTGCTGGTGAGAACCACGGACTTGCGGAGCTGCAGGAACTGGGGGGACACCGGGGGCCAGGTTGGGTTGGGGGGAGGCCACCCCGACCCCTCACCCCCCCTGCCAGCCCCAGGGACCCCCACGCTCACCAGCTGGTGGTCGTTCACCACGGCCAGCTCGATGTACTTGGTCTCGCTGTGCACCGTGTGCTGGGCTCGGCGGACCTGCGGGGAGAGCCCACTCTGAGCCGGTCCCGGCAGGATCGGCCGCCCGGACGGGGCTCCTGACCCCGCCAGGGATGCTGGGAACGCAGGGAGTGGGGGAAACCGCTGGGTGGGCTTGGGGTGGAGCCCCTGAAGTATTCCAGTGGGTCCCCTGGGCAGCATCCAGTAAACATGACCCCAGCCTGGTTGAGCCCGCAGCCGACAGTCAGGGACCAACCTGGGTCAAGCACCCTTGTCCCCTGCCCCACATCCTCTGTCCCCAGCCCCACGTCCTGTGTCCCTGTCCCTGTCCCCGCTGACCTGCCGCCGCCGCCGCAGTTTTGGTATCCCACCCGCGTCTCGCTGGCTCAGCGCAGGGAAAAGGCAGCCTGGAGGGAAGGGACAGAGCTGGTGGGACACCAGGACACGGTGCCACCAGTCCCTGGGGACCAGCGCCGGCTCTGCACAAAGGCTCACCCGGGCGGGGGCAGTTGGGGACGCGCTGGACGAGGTGCGGTCGGAGGCCCTGCCGTGGGGAGAGGAGTGTCATGGTCGAGTGTGGAGAGGGGGCTGCCCCGTCCCCGTGTCCCCCAGGCTGTCCCCAAGCCTGCGGGAACTGAGGCAGCACACGGTAGGTCCCGGTGCCACCGCTCACCTGCCCGTGCTCGGCGCCCGCCTGGGGCTCGATCAGGTAGGTGGCTCGGCCGTCCGAGAAGACCCCCCTGCAAGCAGAGACGGGCGTGTCGGGGTGCAGAGGGGTGCAGCCCCCCCAGACCCCCTTTTGGCAGTGGGGGGTACTCACCGCAGGCCCTGGCAGCTGGAGAGGGCGGCGAAGGAGCGCGGCTGCCCCCGGATCCGGCCCTGGTAGTAGCAGTGCTCCCCCGCGCCCTGCGGAGCGGGGACAGCGCTGAGTACGGGGGTCCCACCCCGCCCCGCACCCCCAGGGGCTCCCCCCCGGGCTGGGGGCTCTGGGGTTCACTGCCTGGCACCCTCGGGGTGTGCCCAGCGCCCACAGCACGCGGGGATCCCCATCACCACCCCTGTGCGAGGAGCATCCCCCATCACCATGGCAAAACCCCGTGCACGGGCTGGTACCCCAGGGGCACCCGCGGGGGAAGGTGGGTGCTGAGTTGCTGGGGGGGCCACTACTTGGGCTTCTGTGGGATTTCTAAACCTGCCACCATGACCCCAGCGCTGGCATGGCACGGCATGGCACGGTTTGGCAAGGTGTGGCACTCAGCTTACCGTGCTGTGGCTGCCGTTGCCGCCCGAGCCGAGGTGCCGCTCCACGTAGTGGGAGGCGAGGAGGTGGCTGCAGGGAGCAGGTGGGGGATGAGAGGCCGTGGGGTGGGGAGGAAGAGGAGGAAGAGGAGGAAGAGGAGGAAGAGAAGGAAGAGAAGGAAGAGGAGGAAGAGGAGGAAGAGGAGGGAGACGATAGCAGCCATTCATGCACACGACATCACCCCAGTGTGGGAGACCCACCACATCCCTATACGTGGAATCACCCCACCGTGGGACTGCCCCAGTTTGGGAGGGTACTGGCATCCCTTGGACCCCTCTCCCCCCGGGCTCAGCCCCCAGTACTGAAACTGAGATGGCTTTGCACAAACACCCCCCATCCTGAGCACCCCCAGCTCCTCCACCCCCTCCCTCCTCCTGGGGCGCAGCAGCAGCCCCACGGTGGGCGCCCCCCACCCCACCAGGACCCCCGCGGGGGTCACCGATCACTCACTGGTTCAGCCGGAGGTCGAGGGTGAAGGCGGAGCCGAAGGCGTGCACCACGAAGCTCACCTGTGCCAGGTGCAGCCCCTGCAGGAGAGGCCGGGCCGTCAGTACCCCCCCCAAACCAATAACTAAAATAACAGTTCAGACCCCAACCCAAAACACGCAGCCTGTACAGCTGCACTTTTATTTTTAACCCCCAAAAATTCAGCATAAAGGAAATCATCGGTGTTTTTTATCCTCAATCCCACCACCACCCCCATGGTACCTGCAGGTTACCCGCGTCCCATCACCCCCTCCCCAGGTGCCGGGCTGGGGTGGGGGTTGCTGGAGGGTCCCCCCGGCGCTGGGCCCAGCTCGGGCGGCGCAGCCGAGCCGGCGCTTTTCCCTCCCTGCGGCGCCCGGCGCTCCTGACCTAATTCCTGCCGCCGGCAGCGGGAGATGGAGCAGGAGCGGCAGCGGGAGCCGAGCGCTGCGGCGCGGCCTGAGACCCCGCAAACTCACCGCACGGGTGAGAGCCCGGTCCCTCCAGGGGGGCCCTCGGGAGCTCCGGCTCTCCACACGGAGAAGCCGGGAAAATCCAAACCCTCCCTGGGGTGCCTTGTCCCCCTCGCTGGGAACCTGGCCCAGCTCGGGATGGGGACACGGGGAGGGGAGAACCCGTTCGTCACCACGGTAGGGGATGTCCCGCACCAAGAGCGCATCCCCGGGTCAGGCCGGAGGGAGTCACCGGGCCCTGCCGCCGGCACCCAGCCCCGAGTTCCCGGGATCTCCGCCGCTCCATCCCTCCGTGGCTCTTGGGTTTAACACCTCCCTGGCCTCCCGCCAGCGCGGCGGCTGCCGGCGCTTCCCGGCGTCCGGCGGTTCCACTCGACGCCGGGTGTAAATCACCTTTGCGGTGAGCGCAGCTCATCATCCCCCCCCGTCCCCGGCGCGGGAGGGGATCGATGGGCGCCGGCCTGGGCGGCTGCCAGGGCCTCAAACCACCCCCGGCCGGATGGGAGCGTGTGCCGCTCCCTGAAACGCTGGGAGCTCCAGCCATCGGGATGAAGGATGCACCGAGCCCGGGGGGGGTTGGGGAGCAGCACTGGGTGGGACATGGGGGGCTGCTCCAGCAGGGCCTGGTTCCCTCCTCAGCAGAGCCACGAACTCATTCCTATGCTGTGGGAGCCCTGCCCGCCACCTGCTCGCTCCTGTTCCGTCTCTCCCAATGCCCGGGCGCCGCCAACACCCAGATTTAATGGGATTTCGAGGCACAGCTCGGTGTCCCTCTGGGTTGGATGGCAGTGGGATGGTCCCTGGGGGGATGAGGGCTCTGTTTTGGGATGCTGGTGCTCACACATGCACTGGGAGGCAGCTGGACCAGCAACAGCAGCTGCCTGGGGACCTGCCACCCGCCTGGGACCCCGGACAGGGAGAGGGTGGGGGGCTCTGCTTCACTTACGGGTCCTTCTCCTCCTCCTCCTCCTCTTCCTCCAGGCTCATTCCTGACCCTGGTGTCCAGCTGATGCTTTGCCACTTCTCCTCCTCCCGAGCTCTGCCCCACCAGCCTGCTGGGGTGGGTGATCTGGGAGACCACCCGCCCGTCCTGCCATCCGGCCCGCGGGACCCTGCGCGGCACCGCCCCGGCCTGCGCGGCGGGACCTGCGGGACAGGGACAGGGACAGGGGTGGGGTGACCCCGGGGGGCTGGGACACAGGGGCATGGCACACGGCGGATGGCACACGGGGGATGGGACATGGGATGGGAACACGGGGGGATAGGGGTGAGGAGGGGCAGGTCCACGAGGGGATGGGACACACGGAGACGGAGTTTGGGGAACATGCTCCGGGGGTGACCCGAGTGTGGCACTGCATCCCGAAGGGGACACTCGTGGAATGTGGAGAGTGGGAGGACAGCTGGGGACATGGGGGGACATCCAGGTACGCTGGTGTGTCCAGGAAAGGGACACCGAGGCAGCACGGCCTGGGGGGTGCCCAGGGGTGGAGGGGACCAATATGGGAGCACATCTGGGAGAGGAAGCTCAGGGGGCCTCAGATGCAGTGGCACGTCCTGGAGGGGACACCCAGGGGACATGGGGGGGGGCTGATAAAGTGATGCATCCCGGGGGGGGCCACCCAGGGGACAGGAAGGCACTCAGAAATGCCATCACACCTGGAGGAAGGGCTAGAGGGGGTTTCAGCATATCCTGAAGGAACATCCAGGGAAAACGGGGGACTGGAATGGGGACACATCTGAGGGGGGACACTCAGGGGACAGCGAGGGCCAGGCTGGGGACACCACCCAGTGGGAGATGGAAGACTGGTATGGGGACACCCCCCAGAAGGGACACGGAGGGGACAGTAGGACTGGTGCAGGGAAACCTTCGGAGGCGACACCCAGGGGACACGGGGGGTGGCTGCTATAGGGACATATCCCAAGGGGACGTGGAGAGCTGCTACGAGGACATCTATGGGGACACGCAGGGGACAGGGAAACCGAGACGGGGACACATCCTGGAGGGGGCATGAGGGGCTGCTATTGGGGTCACCTCCGGAGAGGGGACACGGGGGGGCCACTGCGAAGACAGTGAGGTGGGGACGCGGGGCCAGAGCAGATGCAGGGCCGGGGAGACCGCGGGGCTGGGGCAGGTGCGGGGCCGGGGGTGATGCGGGGCCGGGACCGGGGGGCAGGTGCGGGGCCGAGTGCCGGTGCCGGAGCGGGGGGGTCGCGGGCCCGGCCCCTCCCGGGGCTCTGCGGGGCGGCGCTGCGGAAAAATGTGTCGATGCAGCGAAAAAGCCGCAGCGGTGGCGGCGGGGCCGGGAGCGGGAGCGGAGCGGGGCGATGCGGGGCCGGTACCGGGGGTGATGCCGGAGCGGGAGCGGGAGCGGGTCCGGACCTACCTGCCCGCGGGGCGAGCGAGAGCAGCGCGGCCAGCAGCCAGCCCCGCAGCGGGCTCATGGCTCCCTCATGCTCCGCCAGCGGCCGCGCCGGGCCCGCCGCGCCGGGGACCGTCACCGTCCCGTCCGGCCCCCGCCCCGGGCCGGGCCGGCAGCGCCGCCCCGCCCCCGCCCCGCCCGCGGTCCCGGGCCCGCCGGACCGGACCGGCACCGGCCCCGGCAGCGCCGGCAGCGGCACCGGCAGCGCCGCCCCGGGCCCGCCCTCGCCCCGCCCGGCCCCGCCGCCCCGGTACCGGCCCCTTCCCTCCTCCCGCCCCGGCTGCCGCAGCGCCGCTGGCACCCGCGGCACTGCAGCACCGGAGCCCCGGCCGGCATCACCCCCATCCTGGCCTGGCTCACCCCCGATCGGCATCACCCCCGATCGGTATCACCCTCCCCCGGTACCAGAGCCCCTCGTCGGTCCTGGGTACCCCCTACTCCGGCTAGAACAGGGGTGCACCAGACAGTGCCAGACCCCCCCAGACAACACCAGACCGTGTCCTCCCCCACCCCAGACAGTACAGCAGCACCAGGACTGGGTCCCCCCAGTCAATACTGGACCCTCCGAGGTCTGGACTCCCCAGGCCAAAAGCAGACCCTCTCCAGGCAGTACTGCCCCCCACCCCTCAGACGTGCAGGTCTCCCTCCAGCTCCCCAGATGGAATTGGAGCCCCCCAGGCTGTACAGAGTCCCCCTCAGCTGGTACCAAGTCCTTGAGTGGTCCTCAGTCCCGAGCTGGTCCCCAGCCAGCCCCGGAGCCCCTCCAGGCTGTACTGGAGTTGGTACCAGGCTCCCAACCAGTACCAGGGCCCCCGACCACTGTCAGAGCCCCCCAGCCAGCACCACCTGAGCCCAGAACCCCCCACAGGCTGCTCTGATTCCAGGATATGCTGTAAGGCTCTATTCCCCCTGGGGATAATGGAACAGTTTTCGGAGAGAGAAGCCCCAAATAACTCCTGTTTATTGCAGCTGTTTGTGTGGGGGTACAGCCCCTTGGAAGGTGAAACCCAGCCCGTGGGGGGAGGCAGCACAGCCTCAGGCACCCACAGGAGGGGCCATCCTAGGGTGGGCACAGGGGCTCTGAGCCCCAGGATGTTCCTAAAAAGACCAAGCTGGTGGTTTCACTTCATGTCCCTCTCCCTTCTCCAGGATGAGAGAGCTGGCACACACCCCAGCCCCAGGGACCCCCAGTGTCTGACCAGCACCCCGAGGGCAGACGAGACTGGATCAGCCCCACCCTTCCCCCCTTGACAGCACGGGGCAGGCAGAGCTTCCCAGCTGAGACCTTCTGCCCTTGGACCTTCCTCTCCCCCTGCCCAGTGGGAGAAGGAACCTGCAGTGGAGCTGATCCAGCACCCGCTCAGCCCCTCAGGAGGTCTGTGATGGTGCCAACCTGAGGGGGGACAACCTTTCCTGGTGGTCCCCAGCACCACAGGGACAAAGGGGTGCTCGGCCAGAGGGGGTTTGTGCCAGGTGACAACGAGCAACCTGGTCTAGGGGAAGGTGTTCCCTGCCCATGGAACTGGGCATAAGTCACAGGTCACACGAGGAGGGGGCAGGCAGCAATCAGGGCTCCCTCTGCCCTCCATGGAAAGGCCAGGCTTGGTGAAGGACAACCCATCACCCCCCTGCTGATCTGCCAGGGCAGCTCACTGCCTCCTCCATTGAGGAACATTGCCACAAATTATTTCAGTCTCCACAGGGGACAACCTGAGCCCCAGAGGGCCTGGAGGGGTCATTCCAGATCAGCCAGGACACCCCCTTGGCTGTCAGAGGGGCACAGAGTGGTCCCTCCCTGCAGGAGGCCGAGCACACCAGGGTGGTGGCTGGTTGGTGCTCCAAGCCCCTCCTGACCTCTCTCCCAGGAATTCCCCTCCTGCTGGACAGTCGGTGGTACAGGGACATCTCCACAGCAGAGCCCTGTGCTGGGCAGGGTTCAGCTCCTGCAGCAGCTTTGAGCAGCCCTTTGCTACCTGTGCAGGGGCTTGAGCAGGTAGAGCTGCAGTTTGGCTGTTGCACTGGAGGGTTTCTCTCAGGAGGAACCTCTGAACCCTGCTGCTTCCCAAAGCTGCTCCCAGCAGGGCCACCTGATCCCCCTGCTCAGGCCTTCCTTTGAGCCTCCAGTGAAGGAGGGATGATTGTCCTTCACTCGAGCATTGAACATCTCCAAGGACAGACAGAGCTCAGCTCCTCTGGGTCTGGGGTTGTCCCACCCTGCTGGGCACTGAGCTTCTCCTTTTCCCAACCTGCACGTGGAAGCCTGGCCTAGGGACACTCCTGGCACCGCAGAAGGGTTGGCTCCATCCAGTTTGGAACCGCCCTTCAAGAAGGGCTGTCTAAAAGGCTGCTTTTAAACATCCCAGAACTTCCTCCCCTTGGCCCCACACCCAGGAGAGGTCAACGGGTTCCTACCAACTGCTCTGCACATCCCTCCTTAGTGGGGGCCACCCCTGCACCGGCTGCAACAGCTTCCCAGAGCCTGCTGACCACATTCCTCTGGTAAACCACGGGTGGGGTGATGTTCTGTGACTGGAAACACCACACCCCAGCACCCACAGCACCCCTCTAGCAAGGCCTCTCTCCACCCCACCTCTACTGCTGGAAGTGTCACAGAATCTGGCTGTGCTTTGGTCACCAGACACATTCCACCCAGAGCAGGATCTCACCTTCCATTTTATTACAAAGTTTAAAAGTTTGCTAACCCCCCCCCCCAACAAACCATGTTAAAAACATGTGAAAAACATCTGTAAATACTAAAAAACAACCCCTCCCAAACCATGTGAGGAGCAGAAAAAATCTCACCCCCTCGACCCTTCCCTCCCACGTCTTGGCACCTGCTGTCACACTCTGGAAGGGCCAAGAACACATTCCTGCTGAAGAGAGACTTCCAGAGGGACCACTGTGTCAGCAGCTCCACGAGGAGCTGGAGGAAGCTGCTGGCTCTCAACGTGGCTAGCAGAGAGGAGGGGAGATGCCAGCCTAGAACACAGCCAAGGGCAGTGAAGAGACTGCATCCCCATCAGTTCCCAACAGGAGAAGGAAGTGTCCAGACTGCTGGTGGTCCTCACTCTTGGATGTGCTTCCTGCTCCTGACATGGAGAGTGGCTTGGCCAAATCCCTTCCCAGCCCCTTGCCATCTCCCACACTTTGGTCCAGGAGGCGTTTTCAGCTCGTCCAGCTGCCACAAAACGTCTCAAGCACAGGGAAAGGGGCTGCCGTGGTGCCCGTGCAGCAGGTCCGGCAGCTCCCGCTGTCCTGAGCCGCCCAGCCCGGCTGCGGGTCCCGCCGGAGCACCGAGCGCAGCCGGCACTCGTACCCGCTGTCCCCCACGCTGCCCTGTGTCCTGTGCAGCACGTCCCTGTCCCCAGCCGCCATCCCGCTGCCCTGTGTCCTGTGTCCCACGGCCCTGTCCCCAGCCGCCATCCCGCTGCCCTGTGTCCTGTGTCCCACGTCCTTGTCCCCAGCCGCCATCCCGCTGCCCTGCACACCCGGCAGCAGCTGCACATCCCAGTCGGACTCGGAGGAGCTCTCGCCGAAGCTCCGTGTGCTCCGAGCGGGAGGGGGAAGCAGCCCAGGGCACGGTGCCCGCTCTGCGCTGTGCCCGGGGAGCTCGGCAGCCTCGGGGGATGCTTTTTCTGCCGCCCCGACACAGACTGAGCAGCAACATCTGGCCCCAGCCGCGGGCGGGCGGCCAGTGGGGCAGCTGCTCCTGCCGCTCGCTGTGCTCTCCAGGCCCGGGTTGCTCGCCCTGCCGGGGGTGGCACCGTCCTCCCATCGGAGCTGCTGCCCTGCGGGTCTCGCACCCGCCCCGCTCCAGCCACGCTCGCCGGCGGCGCTGGCTGGAGCGGCTCCCGCAGCATCCACAGCTCCCGGGGATCCCGGGTCCCCAGGGCTCCCGCCCGGGCACGGATCCAAAGCCAGGGAGCCACGAGGTCTGCTGCAGAGCTGTGTGTGCAGGGCCAGCCTGCCAGCCCCTGGCACACCGGGCAGGCCTGGCCCAGGCATCTGCCCTGCACCCTGTGCCCCCAGCCCACCACGCACCGGGCCCATCTGCTGCCCCTGCTCCAGCCTGGGCCTCTTCCCCACCTGGGAGCTCTGGCTGGGGGACAGCTGGCGCTTCCTGGGGACAGGCAGTGCCGCTGGGGGGTGGCTCACAGACCCAGGCACTTGCTGTCCACGAGGTTCAGATGGAGGAGCAGCTGCTGCACAGGATTCCCAGCCCAGGGCAGGGGCCGAGCCCAGCCCTGCAGGCCCCAGCCCGGCCCCCTCGGTGGTGCCATGGGCAGCACAGACTCCTCCACTGAGCTCTGCTCCCCTGGGCAGCCCCACAGAGCCCTGCTCTGACAGCCCCCCTCCTTCTCTGGGATCTCTGACCCTGTCCCCAGGCAGGCAGGGGGAACATCCCTTGATCTCCAGGTCGTGATCCTGCTCCGTATCCATCACCAGTTCCACAGTACCCTGCTCAGGCTGCTCCCTTTCCTTTCCCAGCTCTGTCAGCATCTCCAGTTCTCCAGTACCATGTGCTTGAGGCACTAAATGTTCATCTGCCAGGTAGGACTGTGGCACCCTGAGAAGAACCATCAGTTAATGCTCATCCAGGCCCAGCAACGCCCTCCCTCAGCGAGACGAGGCCTCTCCTGCAGCACAGGGTGTTTGCAGCCCTTGCTCAGGAGCAGGGGAGGAATTGCAGCCTGGTGAGGCTCAGCAGTGACACTGCTGCTGGCAGGGAAGAGGGGCAGCACGAGGGATCTGAGCCTCCCCACAGCCCAGGGCCTGGGCACAGGGTGCTACCCAGCTGTGGGGTTTGTGTCAGACATGGGGACAGAAGGGCTGGGCTCAGCTGCCCTTTCTAGTTTAGGAGGCACCAGAAGTCCATGGGGAGTTCTCTGAAGCAGCAGACCCACGGAAATGCAAGAACAGCTCCCATGGCTTGTCTAAGCTTTGCCTGGCAGGTCCAGGTTGGTCCTGCTGCAGCCTCTGCTCCAGCTGCCCGATGATTCCCTGGCACAGGGATCCCGTTCCCAGGAGTGTGCCATGCAGCATATCCTGCTGCTTTTGGGCTCCAGGAGTTACCAGACCCCCAGACTCACCTGTGTGAGCACTGCAGGGAGCTGTGGGTGAGCTGTGAGATGACACGATCCACGGGGAGGTACTGGGAGTCATCCTGGGCAAAGCGCTGGTGCCGGGGGCTCTGGAGGTGCTGGAGGGGGGGCAGAGGCCCTTTAGCAACACTGAAAGCTTTCCCAGGAGGGGAATTTGCAGTAACAAGCACTTCCCACAGCCTGATACAGAGAGGGCAAACTGGAGCCATTGTTTGGGAGCAGGTTTGGGAACCCTTGACCACACTGTCCTCACCTGGCTGCGCGGAGGTCCCGTTCCCAGAGAGCTGTGGATGAGGAGCCTGTGTCCACACCCACCAGCAGCCACAGGCCCCCCCAGCAGCAGGGGAAACACAGACTCCAACAAGACTGTCTGTCAGTAAAGGCTGGGCTCTGAAAGCCATGTTATTTGGCACCTTCCAGGAGATAAAAACCCATTTTCCCAACTTTTAAATCCGCCTGTGCCCCTTGAGTGCCACGGAACAGGCTCCTCACCTTACGGATCAGGGCACAGGACGATCCTTGAGGCTCTCCCAGCCCGAGACATGAGCAGCCTTCACAAACAGTGTGCCCAGACCAGGTCAGAGCAGAGAAATACCACGTTCCCATCCACAAGGCAGATCCTACTGGATACCAAGGGATACCCCAAGGGATACAACCCGGCTACAGCAGTTCCTTCTGAAGGAGTTCACGGTGCTAATGGGCATGACGTGACTGACAAAGGCCCCTGAGTGACCCCCAGAACTTTGGCCAGGAATCAGATGCCAGGGCAAGCTTTACCTTCTGCAGCTCTTCAAAGGTCTCCTGGCAGCACTCACAGAAGCCCCTCCGTTTCCTGGGAGCTGCACTGGAGCGGGGGCTCTTCCCTCCATCGCTGCCCTCAGCCCTGGCAGGGACAGCAAAGGTCACAGCAGGGGCTGTGCTGCCTCTGAACCCAGCACAGGCTCCCTGTGCCCACATCCCAAAGGCAGCAGGTTCCCAGATCCCAGGAATCACCAGTGAGAGGGGGAGTTGGGTGAAAAGCTTGCACAGAAGGGAGTTCCACCTTACCTGGCCTGGCAGGGATTCGAGAGGCTTTTCAGAGGCTCAAAGGGGCTGCAGCTTTTGGGAGCCAGGAAGTTCAGGTGGGGAAAGCTTTGGAACTGGTGATGGAAGGGCCGGAATTGCCTGAAAGCGGCAGATCAGGACATCAGTCTCCTGGCAGGGACAGCCTGGCCACAGAGCTGTGCCCCCCACGGAGGGGCTCAAGGTGCTGCCCCATTTATGAAGAGACACTGCCCACTGCTCTCCTCTGGCTGTGCCACAACTCCCCTTCCTCCCTGCAAGTGTCAAACCAGATTCCCAGTAAGGGCCCTGACAGGGGATTTTTTGGGACAGGAGGCAGCTTTGCCTGCCCAGCCAAACCCCTCCTTTTGCCCCGGGGCACAGCAGGGCAGCATTTCCAGCTGCAGCAGCACGGGATGGTTGTGGTTCCCAGACCACATCTCTCCCCTCACACTTCAGAGCAGGCAGCACAGAAAACTGAGTATTTGACTCCGAGCCGCCTCGAGTGTTGCCTTCAGGATAATTAATTGGCCCTGTGGATGCTGTTACAGTTACAGGCTTGTCAGAAACACCACAGGCTCAGGTCCCCGGTGCTGAGGGCTGTAATCAAGTTACAGGCCCTGACCTCCTGTGCTTCAATCTCCTTCCTCACTGCACGGGGCTCGAGTGGATTAAGTGACCTGACAAGGATCACACGTGGAACCCGAGCAAGGAAGGAAATGGTTGTCAAGTCTCGTTTGACACCTTTTTTCCCCCTGACACACAAGCCACCTGCATTGTTTCTCTAAACTCCATCTGCCTCCCTCTAGGAGAGGGGTCAGCTTCCCAGTGTGGAACAGAGTCTGCCTTGTGGGCAGAACAGTCAGTGGGGATGAAAGCACGGAAGGAATCCCTCCCTGACAGCCCCCCAGGCTTCAAGGTATGTTATTTAGAAAGGTCTCATTTACCTGCTCTGGTCCTCAACCTTCAGAAAAGGGGGCTTCAGTTTTCCTGCTAGAGAGAAATGTGGTTAGAAGCTTTCCTGGCCCAATTCCCTACTTAGTCACTCCTGTCACAACAGAACTGGGCTACAGAGCTGAGCTCATCAGGACTCCTGACACTGCTGAATGCCAAGGGATGGCTGAGCACAGCCAGACCAGCTCTTTGGGGGATTCTTCAACAGCCCTCAGAGTGTGCAGGGTGGGGGACCAAACCCCAAGGCAGCCCAACAGTGGGACATTTCCATCTTTGGAAAAGCAACCAGCCAACCCTCAAATCCTTAATGCCTCCCCAGCCCTACAGACACTGGCCCAACCCTGAGCCTTCTGACTCGAGCCCTGAGAACTCCATCCCCTCCTCGGTGTGGCCACGACACACGAGGGGGGAGTCACCAGTGCCAGATGCAGCTGCACAGGCTCAGAGCTCTGCATCAACCTTCCCTCGCCTTTTCCTCCACTCACCCTGACTCAAGAGCCCAGGGCTCAGACCAGCTCAGGCCAGGACGGTGAAATCAAAGCAGCAAGAGCTGCTGGAGACGAACCAAGGTGCTGCACAGCCAAGCCTGGCACCAGAACACTACTCGAGAGCAGAATCTGGCCTTCACTCAGCCCCTGAGGAGGGCAAACAGCAGCTTTGCTTCCTACAGAGGCATAAAACACATGAAGGGAGCAGAAGAGCCTCAGCACTGCATTGAGGGAAAAGGTTTTCAGGGCCAGGCTGGCAGGAGGAGATCCCAGGTCCCTCCTGTCCCACAAGTATGTTCCACTCACAAGTGATAACATTACTCACCTTGGAAACCCGAGTACTGATCTGGCTAAGAAACAAATAAGCCCCAAGGTGTTCCCACAGGGAGTCTGCCTGACCCTGAAACCAAGCCTCTCCTGCCTCCCTGCCTGCCTCTGAAGGGCGAGGAGGTTTGTTTTCTCATGATCCTGGCACTCAGAGCTATTTTTTCCAGAGATATTTCACCCTCCTTCCCCAGAAAGGCTGAGCCCACCTGTCCTCACCAGCAGCTCCTCCAGCCTCACCCTCCACTCGCATTAAATGTGCTGCTACGTCACCCCAGCAGCTATTTCAGTGCTGGATCGAGCCTTTCCTGCGTAAATGCTGCCAAATGCTCAGCGTTGTGAGGGCGAGGCCGTGCCCAGCTCCGACGGGGGCACAGCCCGAGCAAACAGCTCTGCTGTCCCCGCGGGTCCCGGGCCAGGCTCGGAGGGTGAAACAGCTCAGAGCCTGCAGCACAGGCTGCCTCATCCAGCAGCTTCTCCAGCCTTTTTTTCAGCACCTCCTGCCCACCCCAAAGTGGGAAATGGCCTCCCAGGTGTCACACACGCAGTGCAGGTCGGAGGCTGCTCCGAGCCCGTCCCAGAGGAACCGACGTCAGCAGCGCCGGTCCCAGCCCCACAGCCCGCTCTGGTCTGATTGCAGATGAGGACCTGGTTGTTCCCCCCCTTCCCTCCTCCCTCTGGAAGCGTTCTCCTAGGATGGGTGTCTCAGCAGCACATCTCAGCCCGACAGCAGTGAGTGGGCTGCAGGAACACGCTCTCCTCTGGAGGATGCATTATATTCCTCGAAACCTCCTCTGAGCTGGTGGATTCAGTGTGCAAGAACGCAGTTCTCAGGTGCCTCAGGATTCTGGCAGCTGGCAGCAAAGGCTTCATGGGATTTTTTAAGAACACTGCCCTGAAACCAAAGGGCCTCAGCTGCCCCAGGAGGCTGCAGCCACTCTGATGAGGAGTAACAGAACCCCTTCAAAGCAAACGGCCCTAAGAGTTGGCATATTTTGGGATTGCTGAAGCTTCAGATGGATTTCAAATTCTAAATGAGGCTTCTGCAAGCAGTTCCACATCTGAGCACAAACAGGAGAACAACTTCCAGGCCTACCTTTGTGAATTTTGGATCCAGAGGCAAGGCATCTCCCCTAGAGCAGAAAGAGACACATTTAGCATGGGAGCAGCACAGGCAGAGCTGCAGTTCCTGATCCCACAGCAGCAGCCTCACCCACCACCCCACAGCTCCTGCATCACCCCCCACAGCACCTCCCCTCACTTTGTCTCCCAAGGTACCCAGACTTTAAGTTTAAATACAACACACAGGCCTTGCATCCCACCTTCCCCCAACTCTCCAAGGCATTAAAAAACCCTTCAGGAAACCAGTTTACCAGCCACATCATCTCCTTATTTTGCTGTGCTTGTGTGTGTGGCTGTTGCTTTCCCTCATAAATCATGTCTATCTCAATCCATGAGTTCTCTCCTAAACCCCCCTGGGGGGATGAGAGTGACTCTGTGGGGCCGAGTTGCAATCTGAGGTTGGGAAATGACATACCCTTAGTTCCTTATGAGCCAACACCAGGATTAGCTGTGCTACAGATGTTGACAGTTATCAACAGCTGCCTCATTATCATCTGATTTTACCCCCAGCTTTATAAAAGGAAAAATTCTTTGAGTTTTGTCATCTCCCTCACCAAACAGAAGCCCCGGATTGCCCAGTGCTGGATGGGATCCAGCACTCGGATCACCCTCCACTGGCACTGGAGGAGCTGCAGGGATTGTTCAGGGCTACCCAGGGGCCCTGAGCTCTCGAAATTGGCTGCAGTGAAGTTGTTACCTCTGTCTTCTGGCAGCGTTTCCTGGCTCCAGAGATGGCTCTCAGCAGCTGCTGGGCGTAGGACACCATGTCTGTGCAAGTGGGATGTCAAGGAGCCAGAGCTCAGCAGGGGCAGGGGGCTGTTCCCCTCCAGCTCAGCACAGTCCCCCATGGCACTGGGAATGCTGGAGCCTGGCAGAGAATCCATCCCCCACCCAGGGAACTGGCCCAAGATGAAGCCAAGGAGACACTCTGAGGGACAGCCCCCCCATTTGCTCTCTGGCAGAGCTGGAGGGAGCTGGGGCTCTGCAGAGAGCAGGCAGGGGCAGGGCTTTTGCAGCACAGAGAGCAGCCCCAGCCCTGCCAGCCCTGCCAGGCTCTGGGCTCAGCAGAGCTCAGGGACAGGGCAGCAGCGCCCACACTGAGCTCCAGACAGGCTGTATGTCACTGTCACCAGACACTCAGGAACCTTTTACTCCAGACCTATTATTAGAGCCAGAGTTCCACCATCTGTCTTCCCCATCACCCTCTCCTACCCATCACAGGCACAGGGAGAGCCTTCCAGCACAGGCCCTAATTAAAACCGACCACACCCTGCCCTCCTCGTGATCTGTGCTCCCAGTTAATTAGTACCAATGGTCTTTTTTGGAGCAAATTGATGCACTGACTAAGCTATTAACATTTTCTAACGTTCCAGCTCCAGGACACTGTGATATACCCCGTGTTTGCTGTTGACAGGGGGGTGTCCTGCACACAGAATTCACCTGGTGCCGGGGGGCAGACCCAGCCTCAGCCAGCACAGCACCAGCCCAGTGTATTTCCTTGCAATCTCTCCCTTCTGTTCCACACTCCTGACATCACTCCTGCTCCACCTGTCTCACAGATCCCTGGTTTCCAAGAGCCTCCTTCCACCCCCAGTTAAGGATACCATCCACGTGCAGGATCTGGACTCCCCACAGGCGAGCGTTGGCGAGGATGCTGCTGCCACTGCAGGTGTCCTGCACAGAGAGGGGTTGGCAAAGCACAGCTCAGAGCAGGGACATGTGCAGCTCCAAATTGAGCTTACACTTAGGGTTTTTTGCCTTTTTTTTTTTCCTGCTGCCCAACTGACAGACCACGGTGTAGCTGTTATTAAAATCAGGGCACAGCAGAAAAAAAGGTCTGAAGTCATGCTTTATCAATCCCAAATTAACAGCAGCACCTGGGGCAAATTTTTAATCCCTGTTACAGCATGAGCTTCAAAGTGGGCACTGAGATTGGTCTGGAGTGACATCAGGGAAAGGACTGCAGGGAGCCTTTTGTCCCAGCTACGTGGCTTTAGTTCTCTTTAGGCTAAAAATTAATCTAACAGTAATTCTCTTGTCCTGAGCACCCAGATGGCTGGGACGGGCCTCAGAGGGTGGGGTGTCGCCCATCCAGGACGGATGGCACAGCTCCACGAGGAGCAGTGACAGGAGGATTACACAACGTTCTGCAGGCCACAAGCAACTGCTCCGTGCCTCTCCTGGCCCCAGGATGTGCCCTGTCAGCAGGGCAGGGGCTCTGCAGGAGGGCTGGCTCTGATTCTGCACTGCTCAGCACAGCTCTGAGCACACCCAGCCCGAGGGGGGCCCGGCCTCGTGCTGCTCACCTGCTTCTTCATGGCCTTCTGCAGCAGCTCCTTCCCCCGGCTCAGCAGGGCCTGCAGAGAGGAGACACAGCCCAGGTGATGCCAAAGGACAGCAGGGCAGTGGGAATGATTCCTGGGCACACCCCCAGGCTGCTGGGGAGCAGGGCCTGGCCAAGGCTCCTCTCCCAGCCAGTGGGAATGAGCACCTGCAGGGAGCAAACCCGCAGAGCCCCCCTGGCTCTGCACTCCCAGCACCAGCCAAGGCTCGGAATTATCGACCGGCAGGGAAGGCTCCAGAGTGAGCCAAGAGGAAGCAGTGATTTAGCTTGGAAACTGCTGCTGCATCATGGAATTGTTGGGGCTGGAGAAGCCCTCTAAGGTCATCCAGTGCAACCATTCCCACAGCACTGCCAAGGCCACCTCTGCCCCCATGTCCAGGGACGGGGACTCCAGCCCTGCCCTGGGCAGCCTGTTTCAAGGCCTCAACACCCTTTCAGTGGAGAAATTTTCCCAAATATCCAAGCTGAACCTCTCCTGGCACAACCTGGGGCCATTCCATCCTGTCCTGTCACTTATTACCTGGGAGAAGAAACTGCCCCCCACCAGGCTGCCCCCTCCTGTCAGGGAGTTGTATTCTGGTAAGATCCCCCCCGAGGCTCCTTTTCTCCAGGTATCCCAACATGCTGGCCAAGGGTTAGGGACATTCTTGCTTCCCTTCCTGGGATCAGAGTCTTATTTGCAAGCCAGTGGTCCCAGATCAGTTCAGCTCTTGGTAAGACAAGGGGACAGTGCTGTGAGCCAGGACAGGGACAAGCACTGGGTGCAGCCCCTGAAGCTCAGGTTTCCCACTGCAGGTGGTCCAGCTCCAGGCTGGCAGAGATGTCCTGGGCCTGGAGTGGGGCAGCAGCCTCTCCCCAGTCACAGCTTCCAGCAGACTCCACTTTCCAAGAGGGATGTTGGCCTTTGGCCTCAAGCACTGCTGAGCAGAAAGCTCAGGGTAACAACACCCAGAAAACCCCCTTCCTGGAGGATATCCCCTGTGGATCTCCTCCCAGGTTACAGTGGCCTTGCCCTGTGTCTGTGATTAAACATCCAGAGCCTGCATTGGTTTTATCTGCTCAACACCTCCCTGGCTTCTCCTCTGCCCTTCCCTGGGGAAGCCAGCCAAGCCCTCCATTTCCCCTGCCATTCCAGCAGATTTCCTTGATCCCAGCCCAAAGCTGTGACATGCACATTTGAGAGGAGAATGATGGCAGAGAAAAGGCACATGGGTACAAACAGGAACAGCCAGAGCGGGGGGAAAGGACCCCAGACATGACTGCTCAGAGAGCAGGACTGACTTCACCTCCCAACACTGACTGCACCCTGCAGAGCCCTTAGCATGAACTTGGAGGTGGCCAAAGACCTTTATGGCTCTTACAGTGTCTGGTGGCTTCTGGTGAGGCCTGGGTGGGTTCCCTCTGGAGGCAGCAGGCCCTGAGCTCGTGGGGTTGGTGTCTCCTGAGGTTGGGTGGCTCTGCTTCCCGTCCCCAGTCCCGGCTCTGCCCCGTTTGGCCTCCTTGTTGCTGGACACCACGCACGTCACCTCCTTGCTGAGGAAGCTCTCGGTCACCTGCAGGCACAGCACAGACAAGCTCTGGAAGTGTCCAGCTGTGAGCTGAAAGAGCCCTGCCAAACAAAACCACTGCCTCTGGTTTAACCCCCCACACGCTGAGGGGCTGCTGGAAGTGCTCATGATACCTCCAAGCATTCCTTCCCCCATTCCACAGGGTGGTCTCCCAGGAGGAGGAGATGCCATCCTGCTCGGGGAGCACAGCAGAGTCACCAGAACCTCCAGATCCACACAGCCCATGACTGTCCCCCATCACCCACCCCTCAAGCAGAGGCTTCAGAAAAAGGCAACAGCTGAGAGGAAGGCCCTGGACACTGTGGGTCAGGGTGGAGGAGCTCTGTCCTCAGGAGAGCAGGACGTGTTTTAGCAAAATCAGGGAGAAAGGGAACAGCTGGGATGAGCAGCTCCACACAGAACAGGGAACCAGAAGGATGGAACACACACACAGCAGGAGCTACGAGCCCAAGGAAGAGCTGGAAACCCAGAAGGTGGGACATTAATGAGATTATAAATCCATAATGACTTGGGTTCTCAGGAGCTGAGCAGAAGGCAGGCACAGGGCACTAACACATGGGTATGAGGCCTCCAGGAAGACAAAGACCTGGGCAGTCCAAAACTTCAGCTGCTGAACAAGCTGGTTCTGCTCCTTTACAGAACCCCCACTGACCAGGATCCCAGACCCCCTTCCTCCGTGGGAAGTGCTGAAGGGACAGTGGAGGCCATCCTGCAGCAGTGACCCCTGTCACAGGAGATCAGGGGACTGGAAGCACAGAACAGAGGGAATCACAACATCCCCCCCAAATACCACTCCAGGATGTCCCCTGCCCCCTGCCAAGGTGAAGCTCAAGGTGCCACATGCAAGTCCAAGGCCACAGGATGCCCTGAACATCACCCAAGACCTGGGCTGTGGGGGAGCTGTGTTCAGCATCTCCACAGCAGCAAGAGCAACAAGAACTGCACTCCCTGTGTGCCTCCTCTCAGACAGGGAGGTGACCCAGGACGGTGTTTGACAGGAATCAGAAGGGCAGAAGAAGGCTAAAATTATTTCCAAGGGGCAGTTACATGGAGAAATAACTGACTGCTGGCTCTCAGACTTGAAGGTGCACAGCTAGATGAGGTGCTGTGAGTGGAGTGTCCCTGAGTGTGGGCAGCACAGCCAGGGCAGGGCAGAGAGAAAACAGCAAGTTCAGGATGGCGGTGCAGTTAAAAAAAGAGAAAACAGTGCAAGGCACTGCACTTCCCCACGTGTCTGTGCAGCCAACACGTGATCCTGGCAGCAGACACAGCAGCAAATGAAATGAAGATTTCACCTCTGTGTCCACATTGAAGGATTTAAATGTTGGAGTAACATGAGATGATCACCTCAGAGGGACTAAAGAGCTTGAAAACAAATAGTAACAACTGTTGGGAGCAGATTGTGCACAAGAGTCATAAAGAAACAGATGAACCTGATGAACAACCAGGTACGACCCCCGTGCTCAGCTCCAGCTCAGGGACTGAGGTGATGCTACTTGGTGAAGGGCCTTGAGGGAGGATATAAGGAATTCATGAGGAATAGCAGCAGCCAGGAAGCCTGGAGGCCATGGAAGGTGTCACATGGACCCACTCAAACAACAGCCTCACAGGGAAGAGGGTCCAGATGGCTTTTCTGGGAAAACCACGAGAAAAGCATGAGAGCCTTGGCTGTTGCTTCCCTGCTTTACCTTATGCTGAATTCCACGTGGAAGTTCCACAGCTTCCCTAAAAAATCAAGCAGCCACAGGCTGTTGTGAGCGATGAGGGGGAGCCAGGCACCAGTTACCACCACCTGGGAGGCGCCCCCATGACTGGGCAACCAGTTCCCATACTCTGGAAAAGTGCTGGCAGGACCAAGTGAGCAGTCACCCTTGCCTGGAAGGCACCTCCGGGGCCAGGGGGCTGCTCAGCACCGCCTGGAAGTTGCTCCTATGGTGGCCACCACCCCCCAGACGGTGCTGGCCCGACCGGGCAGCCCGGGAACCACCTGGAAGCGGAGGGAGAGGTTTGCAGGGAGCTGGTCCCGAGCAGGATGGTGGTACCCAGAGACCCCGGAGGGACTCTGGCACAGCAGGATGTGTAATGGACTGAAATGGCGCTAATGGCAAGATCATAGAAAGGTTTTTGTCAAACTGCAAAGACAGGGATAGGGGGACAGGGATGGGGAGACAGGGATGGGGAGACAGGGATGGGGGGCGACCTCCCCCCACCCCGAGGGCTCCGGCTGCCAAGGGAACGGGGAGGGGAGCGACACCAAACCACCGGGAAAAGGGAGAAAATCAGATTTTTTTTTTTTTCTTTTTAAAGAGCACAGAAAGAAATGGGAGGAGAAGGGGGGGGCACCGCAGCCCGCGGCCACTGAGACCCCCGGGGGTGCCGGGAGCGGGGCGAGCCCATCCCGGTGCCCCCCCAGTCCCGGCTCCCCCCGCCCCGGGTGCCCCCTCACCCCGCCGAGCCGCTCGATGGCCTCCGCCAGGTGCCGGGCGCTGGTGCCGGCGGGCAGGTCGAGGTAGAAGGACTGTCCGCGGAGGGGCCGGGCGCTGCCGGGGGCCGTGCCCGCCATGGCGCTCTCAGGGGGGTCGCTCCCGCCGCCCGTTCGCGTTCAAACTGCGCCGCCCGCCCCGCCCCGCTCCGCCCCGCACGGCGGCCGCGCGGGGCCCCGCGGCTGCCCGGGGAGAGGAGGAGCCGTGCGGGGAGCACCGGGGGCACGGGGGGCACTCGGAATCGCCCCCCGCTCCCGCCGCTCCCGCTCGGGCACCGACCCCGACCCCCGGCCCCGCCGATCCCGCCGCTCTCGCCGCCGACACAAGTCTGTCCCCGCGCGGCCGCCGTACCCCCCCACCCCTCCGGAGGCGCAAGATGGCGGCGCCCGGCGGGGCGGCCGCGGCCCCGATCCCGAACGCGATCCCGAACCAGATCCCGGTCCCGGCCCCGCCGCCGTTCCCGGCCTGGCTCGCGGCGCGGCTGGACGCGCTGGGGCTGGACCGCGCCGTGTACGGCGCCTACATCGAGGGGCTGCTGCGGGAGGAGGAGAGCGACGAGGAGCGGCTGGAGGCGCTGCGGGCCGTGCTCGCCGCCTGCCTGGTGAGGGCCGGGGCAGCCGGGGAGAACGGGGGCAGGGCCTCGCCGGGGTTCCCGCACGGCCCGGGAGGTGACGCCGGGGGGGCTCTGTGGGGTCCGGCGGGGGACAGGGGGTGCCAGGCGGGGCCGCTCCCGGGGTGGGTCAGCCCCTTCCTGGGGTGCATGACCCCCTTCCCGGCTGGATCACCCCCTTCCCGGGGAGGGACACACCTCCGCCGGCCTTTCTGTGCCCTCCCCGGGCCCCTGGGGGTGTTTTCGGTGGGTGGTGGTGGCCGGGCAGGGGGCTCTGGGGGGCTCGGCCATCCCCGTTATTTGCGTGCGGGGCTCGGGGGTCAATCCTGGGAGAGCCCTGGCCTGGTTTGAGAGGCGACTTATAAGGATAAATCCCCCGGCGAAGCCCTCGGAGGGTGCCGGGAGCTGCTCCCGCGTGGTGTCCGCCGGGATGGGCAGGAACAGCCGCGGGGAGAGCTCAGGGCTGGTCTCTGCCCCTGCCACATTCCTGGGACAGAGCCAGGACGGGATTTCCCTTTGCTGACATTCTGGGCTTGGGCTGTTTTCCCTTTGCTCCCCAGTCCTGAGTTCCCATCGAGTCCAGGGCTGTTTGTGCCCTGTCCCTGTCCCACCACAGCCTGTTCCTTCTCCTCCTTTGCTCCTTTGCAGCTTCCAGCTCAGTTTGATTTTTCTGCAGTTCCTGTAAAACGTGTTTTTTTTGTCTGTTGAACACTCAGACTCTGTAATCACTGTTTTTAGTATGTTCTTTTTTCCCCTTTATTTGTAGGTTCTGTGCTTATTTCTCTATTGACCTGTGAAACAATTTGGTGAATTGGGGCTTTTCTTGCCAAGTCTTTTCTCTTAGTTCTGTGTGCAAATTCCGGGTGATTTTTTGGTTTCTTTGTTTGTTTTTCTTTGCTCATTTGTTTGTTTTTCACAGCCCTTCTGAAAGTGAAGCTCAGGTGACATCTGACTCGTGTCTGTGGTTCCTGACCATGCCTTGCACTAGTTCATGAGTTCATTCAGGTGTCACCATTTCTAATCAAGGAATTTAAAAGTGGGTTCTGTTTCTGTCCAGTTCTTCTCTTCAAACCAACAGAACCTGGCTCTCTTTTGTTTTCTGTGGTTGTTTTCTGTCTGTATTCACTGAACTCCAAACCAACCTCATCTGTGCTGGTTTCGTTGTTAATCTTCATTTCTCTTCCCATTCCTGTGCCTTGGCAATCCCTTCCCTGATTTCCTTCCTCCTGCCCACCGAGACAGGTGCCCAGGGAATGTGTCTCTCCCAGCTTTCTCTCCAGGCTCAGTATAAATTCCCTTATCCTTCTGCCAGCCTTGCTTCCCTGCATTCCCTGCACCCAGGGGAGCCCATCCACTCACAGGATCCTTCTGCCATGAGTGTTCCTGGGCACTTGGAAACCCTCCTGTCTCAGGACCATGGGGAACCAGAGCCCTGTGGGTGTGCTCTCTGAGCAGATTCGGGGTGAAAAGCTGTGTCCTGAGCTCACTGCTCCAGTTCTTTGCAGCTGCTGCTTCTCCTGTCTGAGCCCAAGGCTGAGGAATCTCCTTTCCCTCCTTAGGAAGAAGATCTCCTGAACGATGTGTGCAGGGAGGTGGTGGAGAAGTGGTCTGACTCTCAGGTTGTTGATGCCAAAGAGGAAAAAGAAGGTACTGTACTCTCAGGGGTGCTGACCTGCCCCTCATTCCATCACAGCTCAGTTTCTGTTTCATCCTGAGCTGTGGAATGGGAACGAGCAGTCTCACTTTGGGCTGCCCCTGCTGCTCTTGGGGCTCATCTCCCTTCAGGGGAAAAGCTCTTTTTTGTTTATTTTTTTCTTCCCCCTGTAGGATATTTTTTTTGCTGGTGGGGTTGGATGCCATGGTCATTAAGGTCCAACCTGAACCATTCTGGGATTTTTTTTCAGGACTCTTTCCCAGTACACCCAGGGCTGTCTCTGCTCAGCCCTGGCACTGCAGCTGCACTCTGGGGGAATATGCAGCAGTTATGGCATAAAACACCTGTGCTGCTCCAGTTTCTGCCAGTCTGGGAGGCATCTGGTTTGGACAGGCAGCTGGAGAGCTGGGCTGTGCCTGCTGCTGACCCCAGCAAAACATCCCTGCTTCCTCTTCCAGCATCTTCCCTTCAAACTCCTTTTTTTCCCATAAATGCTTGTGAGGGCTGAACCATCACTGCTCCTTCCCCAGCTGTGGGTACAGTCCCACTGTCCCTGTGTCCCCTGAGTCCATCCCTGGGCCCTGTGCTGGAAGGATTTGCTGGTCCAAGCACACCGGGATCAGTGAGTGACATTCCAGCAGCAGGGAGCTGACCCTAGCCCAGGACGAGGGAACATCCCTTTGGGCTACACCCTGATTTGTTTGCTCTGCAGTTGGCTGTCACTCCTGGTAGCAAACAGCTCATTTTTACTGCCCAAAGTCACCCGGGAGTGGCTCTGGCAGTGCCCAAGCCCAGCGTCCCCCTCACCCCTGGGCACGGCGGCTCCACCGCGCAGCAGCTCCGTGGCTTTCCCCAAAATTCTTGGCCTGACCTTGCCTTTCCCAGGCATCAGATAAAATAAATTCCTGCTGGGGACAAGTGACTGGGATGGCTGGAGCTGCTGCTGGGCTCCTCCTGCTCCTGCCAGTGCTCGCCCCTCGGGGATTTGTCTTGTCACAGAAGGGCAGCAAAGGGTGTCTGAGTTCATGGAATTCAGGGTTTAATTATTTCACTGGGGTTCCATCACAGGATAAATCCCCACTGAAGTCTGTGTTCTACTCAGAACAGCAGAATCCTGAGGGTAAGTGATTGACAGGCTACAAAATGATTTGGTGTCAAAAGTCGGAGGTCGTTTTAGGAAATGGGCAGGAGGATTTCGGTGCTAAAGGTAAATCAGCTGTTGGTGTCTCTTGGCTGGGAGAAAAGGGAGAGCACAGCACTGCTCCCTCACTTTGGGTTTCCAGAAATATCTCTTCAGTGGGCTTTTAAATATGTACTTAAATAAACTTATTAAGCTGCTTTGAAGTGGAAGAGAATGTGATTTGGAGTCAAGTGTATTTTCCTTAGGCAGGGCCTGAGTGATTCCAGTTTCTTTGTGGATCTTCCCTTGCTCCAGGAGTAACGGTGTGTGCAGGTGGCTGGCACAGCACAGGGAATTCCCCTTGCAGGGAGAAGCCGTTGTCACCCTCTGTTGTCACTGTGTCACCCCCAGACCAGTCCTGGCCCAAACCAGTCCCACTGTGGCTCCCCTGCAGCTCTGGCTCCCACAGATCCCCGCTGGAATTCCCCAAAGCAGCCAGCTCTGACTTTGGGAGAGGCTTGTGGGAGGGAGGGAGGGAGGGGGTGTTTTTGGCTCCCTCTGGGTGAGCTCTTTGTCCCACAGGACACGCTGGGGCTGCAGAGGGAGGAGGCAGCGATGGCCCCGGGGCTCGGGGCCGTGTCTGCAGCACGGGCTGACACCTTCCCCCTCTCCTGCCAGATGAGGTGCAGGCCATCGCCAGCATGATGGAGAAGCAGGCCAGGATTGTGGTGAAGCCCAAGGAGGTCTCCTCCCAGGAGGAGAAGCAGAGGAAGGCTGCTCTCCTGGCCCAGTACGCCAACGTGACCGACGAGGAGGAATATCCTTCCCTGTGCCGGCTGAGACTCAGGGCTTGGGGGGACAATATCTGCTCTAAACTTCCAACAGCAACACCCTCCCAGCTCTGAAGGGTCTGGTGGGGAGAGCTGGGGAAACTTTCCAGTCTTCCTTCTCTGTGGCAAAGTAACTTCTATGGACAAAGCATGGAAGCTCCCAGTTTGTGGAGCGCTGGGAGTGGATGCTCCCTGGAGGGTGTTCCTGCCACCAACACATGGCTGGGAAGGTTTGCCCAGCCCAGGGGTGGCAGGAGACCCCCTGTCCCTCTGTGAGATGGTGCTGAGTTTATCTCTTGCTTTCTGAGGAGAAATCTGCTGAAAAAATCCTCTACAGAGTGCGTGTGGAGTGGGAGGGTTTGGGGGTCGCTCTTGGTGGTGCTGAAGAGGGAACCCTTCCCTGTACAGAGAGGGAATTGTACCCAGCCCTGGAGCAGCAGGAGCTGAGGGTGGGGGTTGTGCCTTCCTGGTCTGTGTGAGTTCAGCTGCTCCCTCCTGCCTTGATAAGGTTGTTATTTGAGGTGTTTGGAGTGAAGTGTGAGCGTAGAGAGGCACAAGTTCATTACTGATGTCCCTGTTTCCTTAATTCTCTCACTGGTGGGGACGAGCAGGATGGACCGACTGGGACAGCTGTAAACATTGGATCTGAAAAATGTATCCTTTGAGCTCCTGGTGACTCAGGCTGTTTGGGCAGGCAGGCAGCCCCCATGGGGAGCTTCCCATCATCCTTCCTTCCCTGTGCTCATCTCCCTGTTTCTTTAGGGCCACCTTTCCAGCCTGGGCACTGGTTTTGCTCTCCGCGTAGCCCGACCTTGCAGTGACAGTGACAGTGCCCTGTCAGACCATTCCCTTCCTCTCCCCTGTTCCTTCCTTCCCTCTTCCACCTCCCTGCAGCTTCACAGAACAAGGACAATCCCCCCAGAACTCAGATTAATGTTAACTGGTGTCCAGAGAGGGAAATC